CTCTGGACGGTGCTGTGCAGTCAGACTGGGGGTAGGCTAATGTGACATGATTTAATTTGCGCTTTTCCCTCGCGCCATGCTCTGTACCTGGATCCTCGGATGCGTGAAAAAAGAGTGACATGATGTAAGAAACAGTCTTTTGATGCTTTCTACACTGATGTCAAGTCGTCAGTGCGCGACATACGTGTTGAAGTGCACAGTCGCCCCAAGCCATACGATGCAACAAGAGACGATGGTTGTCAAGCCTTGCGCAGTCGTATCTTTTGACGTAGCTTTGGCTCAAAGACAACCCTCTTAAAAGCAGCCCATTTTCCATAGCGAATGCCATGCTTAAGGCATGGTGTTTGCTGCTGATGTTGCTGCCAACAGTACGAAGCTCGGAACTGGCGGAACGAGGCACAGGTCGTGCTGCTGAGTGCAGCGACGACACAGTTGTGGACTCCTCGGCGATGCTGCAAACTCGTTGGGATCCCTGGCCCTCCTCGCCCTCCTCGCCGTACACACCCAGCATGGCGCAGGCTGAGGCAGCACGCGGGGGACATGAAAGCCGTAAGCTTCCTGTCTTCTGCTAGATGCAAAGGCGCATTCCAAAGACAAAGGGAACCTGGCATGTCTGCCAGGAAGAGGTCCTGTCAGATGAGGCAGAGCTGCACATGAGGCACAAGCAGACAGCGATGCACATGAGGCGCAAGCAGGCAAGCCCCGTTCTTTTCCGGTCTCTCTAGTAAGTTTGATGACGACCCTTGCGATTTCAGTTTAGATGGGTTCGAAATTGCAGGATGATGTACTTTTCGGTATTGCGGCCGGGCTCAGACAGTTAGAGCGAGAGTTTGAGGTTTTGGTCGGGCTAGGGTTGCAATGTACGGGTCATCTGATTTCAGCCGGCCATGTCACCGAAGCCCCGAAACCCCGAGACCCCAAAAGAGCCACGACTTTATGGGCCCTTGTTTCCGGGACTTCTTACGGGACTCCCAAGCCCATTAAAAGGCTTGGCCCTGGTTCTTGCCGTGGCTTCTTGGCTGGCAGTATAGGAGTTTTTGAGGGTGTTCAGAGAGTTGAGGGTTTGCGGGGGAGGGGGAGGCTGTGGGGATTCTAGGGTCATGCGCTTTGCCTAGGCCACTAGGCCCTGCTCTCACGCACCCCTCCCAGCCCCACACTCAACCAGGTTCCACCGCCACAAGGGTGCCAAGGCTCGGGTATCGCAGACCTTGGTGGTTGACCCCGGAATGTTGGATACCCGACAGGTTTCTTTTAGTGATTCGGGAGATGTGAAGCTGCGCTGCAGGCCACCTTGAAATTCAGAATCCCAGCTTCGTTGGGGGGCTGGTGCATCGCTGGCCTGTGGCCCATGCCCCCGAAACTGGTAGCTTCACCCTTTCATGCCCTGGCCATCTAGAAGCTCTCTCTTGTGCATGTGTCTTTGTGGGAGGTGACTTCCACCACCACAATGGGCCCTGCTTCGTCTGTCGCCGACATTGAGCGTGCCGAGACCGAGGCAGGGCGTTGCTAGGTGCGTGGATTGCGCTGGGGCTTGAAGCGTTTCTTGGACAGAGCCGGGATGTTCGGGATGGAGGTCGGGGAAGAGGCTTCTGGGTGGTGGCAGGCGGTGTTGGGTGTGGGTTTGACTCAGGCAGTGCAGTCGCTGCTGCTGCTGGGCGATGTGATCGACCCGTCCAATCCTCCCGCCGTTGCCTCTGGCGTGGTGTCTTCGAAAACCACCCAGACATCCACAGGAGAGCAGATGCTGATGGCAGTAAACCTTCCACGGCAAACCGCAAGCAAAACAATAGTCTTGAGTGATGCGTGAACCCCCAGAACCATCCGACCATCCCAGAACAGAATATGGCCACAGGAGAAGAGATGCTGGTGGCTCTGGTGGACCCGGGAAATGTCGGTGTGGACGAATCCCTGGAGATAGAAGCCAAGGGGCGCAGCATTTCGGTTCCTGCGAGCAGCCTGCAAGACATCCTGAATTTGGCTGGCACCGAGCTTTTGATCTTCACGTCCGGCTCCCCCTCGTCAGAGGCACTCGGGGCCCTCAACACAGAAATTGAGGAAGGTTCTGTGGTGACCTTCACTTTTCGAGATGACAAGGGCAATCCAACTCCGGTGAGTGGGCTCGTGAAGCCCATCCAGTTCACATTACCACTTGGGTCCATGAAGTCGCCCACATGCTTGACATGGGACGATGCGGCAGAAGAATGGTCCGCACTGGAGACGGTCATTGGCGGCACATCGCCCGACACTGTGGACTGCCTCACAACCCACCTTTCGGTCTTTGCCCTTGGTCGGCTTCCAGCCACTACCGTGTCGTCAACCCCCACCCCAGCCACTTCAGCAGACGTTGCCGCGGGGTCACAGGTACCCAAGACATCATCGACCCCCGTGGCCAACACAGAGACGACCTTGAGGTCATCGACGAACAGCAGCTCTGGCAGCCCCTCGGCCACGGAGCCGACCAGCGCCTCCTCCAGCAACACTGTTGCCATGGGGAAATCGACCACCTCGATGTCGACAGAGACCACCGATGAACCAACGTCTGCGACAACCGCAGCGTCAACCACCACGTCCGTTACCGAGGCATCGACGACAGCGATATCGCCAACCAGCGCCTCCTCCAGCAGCACTGCTGCCGTTGAGGAATCGACTACCTCGATGTCGGCGGACGCCGCAGATGAACCAACATCTGCTACAACGACGGTGTCAACCACCACCTCCGAAACCGAGACATCGACGGCGGAAGAGTCGTCCACCAGCACCTCCAGTAGCACCACCACCACCACTGAGGAATCGACTACCTCGATGTCGACAGACACCACTTCTGAACCAACGTCGACGACATCTACAACGCTGTCGAGCACGTTGTCGGACAGCAGCACCTCCAGCAGCACCACTGAATCGACAACCTCGTCCACGACAACCACTGAAGACTGAAGATGCTCCCAGCCTTCTTTGAAACCCCAAGCACACTGCACAGGTCCTGGATGGGGCGCGCCGCCCCCAAATCTCCCAAAGCCTTGTGCCCCAAAGTGGAAGTTAGAGATGGTTACAGACAGTTCCAGAGCCGTATGCCCAGGAGTGGCCGAAGGCCCTCGATTTTAAACAGCAGGGCACAGCCATGGCTTGAAAGAAGCTTTACCGCAACTCTTGCATTGTCCGTTTCCCTTGGTGCTCCCTTTTGGGAGGTCATGGGCTACAAGAGGGTAATCTATGTAATCTCAACCCCACATCCCCCCCCACCCCCCCCGCCCCTCAGCCCAGCCTTCAACCTTCGACTCCCGAATGTCAACAAACCCAAAGCCTGCTGAACCCGATTGGCCGAGGATGCATGCATCTCAAGCGCCTGCGCCACTTTCCCACCTGCCGTACTTTCTTCGATCATGGATCCAAGCCCTGACCACCCCCAGAATCTCAGACCCCACAACTTCTTCCGAAGCCCTGACTTTGGTATGGAACTAGCCTCGGAAGATTTCCAGAGCCTCGGCTCAAAGCGCCGGTGCGGGTATTGCCTGCGATGCGCCGCGCGGTCTTCTCGCCGTGGCTCGTGCTCCTGGCATCTGCAGGGTCCCTGGCTCCCGAACCGGGTCTTGAACCGTTCCCGAACATTTGTGGGCGGTGGGGTTTGCTACGTTTGCTGTGTCTTGCAGATGCATGAGGCTTTACTTTGCTTCATGGCTTTCTCGGACTTCAGGGCTTCAGGCTTTTTAGGCTTTCGGATTCCCGAGATGCCGCCCTTAGGCCCTAAGCCCTAAGCCTCGGGTTGGGGTTGTAGGTCCTCACCTTCTGCATCAGCTGGGGTCATGGCATCCTGTGCTGCGGTTGATGCTCAATCACATCCTGTGTGTTGGGCAAGGCCTGGTTTGTTCAACAGTTAGTCCTATGTAAGGCTTGTTCGTGTTTAGGCACGGAGGCAGTCTAGGACCAGCTGGCAATTGTAGTCAAGCAGGGCAGGAATCCAGGAAGAAGCCAGGCTTTACCTACTGCAAACATCGGCACTTTAACTCGGGCCGACAGTGCAAGAGTTTAGGCGCTTGATTCCATCTGATCAATCTGCCGCGTTGCCGCGTTGCCGCTTGGCCATGCAGTCGTTGCCGGCTCTCTGCCGCTTTGCCATCCCGGCCAGTGTGGTTGGTGCTCGCTGGACCCGGCGTGCGGAGTATCTCAGGCCATGTGAATGCGAGCTGCGATTGAAGGGTCAGGAGATGGGTGACCAAACCCCAACACGACCACGTCCCAAGCTCCGAGCCCCCTTATCCAAAGCCCAGTCCGCTACACACCCCCTCCAACGTCCTCAACCTCTAAAGGCCCAACCGCCGAAAGGAGTGGACGCACCCAGTCGCCAGTGAGGGACCCCAGCGTTTCACTTTGGAGTCTGCGGCGCGCTGCATCTCCAAGACGGCGCCACGGCTCTTGCAGCCACCTGTCCGGCATGCCGCTCGTCCTGGTTGAGGGTATTCCGCGCAGCGTTTTCGTGGGGAAGCGTGTGTGAAGATCAGTTTGTGAGCCCTTTAAGACCCCGACCCCGACAACCCTCCAGCATCAACATGTCCCTGGACCCCGAGCTGACAGCCCTCAGGGCTGCATGGGTCCGAAGTTAAAACGGCCCCTAGCAGCGCCCGAGGGGGAGCTGTGCATGTTGTTAGGCATGTCAGACATGTCTATTCCTTTGGGGTCTACGGAGAGAGAGAGAGAGAGAGAGAGAGAGAGAGACAGAGAGAGAGAGAGAGGCAGTCGGGGCGGGACCCGTACGCCAAACTGAGATAGGGACCTGCACGTTTATTCCGGGGGGAAACAACAACACGCCGTGTACGCTGTTACTGCCTTGAAGCTTGACCTACGGGGGGGGAACCTTCTCCCAGTATACTTCTGCCAGAAGGTGGACAACAGACGATTTCCCCCACATTTTCGACCAAATCGTCACCAAGACACATCACGGAACCTGCCAGCGCGCGGTTGTTCGGGGACACCTGCCCTGTCCCCAAAGCCTCTCAGACCTCAGAATGAGAATAAGAAGAGGAACAGGAAGAAGAAGAAGAAGAAGAAGGAGAAGAAGGAGAAGAATAGGAAGAAATAGAAAGCGGCAGTTTGGTTGCTGCAGAGCTTTGACTGGAGACGTTTGTGTATACCAGCCCCACTTCGCCCCTTGGGATTTCCCGCCACGGATCTTTTTGGATCTCGGTTCACGTTTGGCTGAAACCGCAGCTGCCCCTTACGAAGCCCCCAGATTGCCGGATCCCCCCGCCGAAGGGGTTTTCTCCAAGCAGGACTGCGGAGACGATGCCTTCTTCCTGGCTGGCGGCAAGCAGACCTTAACTGTTGGCGTGGCCGACGGCGTCAGTAGCTGGGCAAGGCGCCTCGGTTGGATGTAGATAAAGCCCATAAAAGCACTAAAGTCAAGAACTTGGCGGTTGGGCGGCTTTTGGGGTTCAGTGGGGGGCTGGGCTAGAGTTCAGGACTGCCGGGAGTCAGGCTTTAGGGCTGCGTTGGGGTTCAGGCCGTGAAAAGTCTGATATGTGGGACTAGCCCAGTAGCAGTACCATGCCAGCGTCGACCCAAACACTCCAAGACCACTCCAAGACTGTAATAAAGACCACTCCAAGACAACGCCAAGACCACTCCAACATTTACTACAACTTCGGATGGAGTTTCAGACGTCCTCCGCGCACGTCTGGACTGCAAGAACCGATGTTGGAGCCACGGGAGCTGCGGACGTCCTCCCGCGCGCGTTTGGACTACAAAATCCTCAGTTTCGCAGTTCACGAGCCCAGAAGTCCAACAGTCCAAAATGATGACAGGTCACATTATGCAGGCCGAGATGGGCAATAGTGACGAGAGTTTCGGTTTGTGCTAGCCCAGAAAACCAAACGCGACGACAGTCTCGCATTTCGTGAGCCAAGAAGTCGAATCCAATTAGCTTGCGGCCCCAAAGGACCCCGAATCCTCAATAGCTTGCCGCATTGCTGCAACAAACGACATGCATGTTCGGAGGAGCCGAAAGCAACACAATTTCGAGGACTCGTGGGCCACGCCCGAGCCTAGGCGAGAGCACGATTTGCCAAAATGTGAGCAGGCTTCGAGCCACAACCCATGCTCCGGGCTGCGGGCGCCACCCCCTTTACTCTGCACGTTGGAACCCCCGAGTGTTGACACATTGTCTTGGGGGATGCTTGAAACCAACAAACCAAATTGCACAGCAACAAAAAGCTCCAAAGATTCCCGGCGAAAATTCGAAAATTTCATGGCTACGAGGTACGGCATCAATCCGGCGCTCTTCGCCTGGGAGCTGATGGTGCGCTGTGAGGGTGCCGTGGGATGTGCTTGGGGCGTTTTTTGGGGTTCGGTTCTTGAGGGAGATGTTCCGGCTTGCCAGTCCCCAACCCTTTCAATTTAAGTGCTGAGAATCATCAGAAGCAAATTCTGATTTGTCATTCAGAAACCATGGGGATTTTTCTTTCATTCGCTATCGGAATTCGAACCCAGGTGCGGCCACGGATGGCTCCCTGGATGCTGGGGAAATCTTGACCGAGGGCTTTGAGAGCGCGGTCCGTGAGAGTGGCAGGCGCGCTCAACGTGGACCTCATGCCTCAATAACATAAACAAACTGCAACCGGCCCTAAAGGCCAAAAAAAGCACCTAAAGGCCCTAAAGGCCCAAAAAGGCCCAAAAGGCCCAAAAGAGCCCTTTCAAGGCCCTAAACCCTAAAGGCCCCTATACAGGCACATGGTGGGAAGCAGCACGGCTTGCATCGCGTCCCTGGATTGCAGCGCTGGCGAGCTGGAAGTCGCCAACCTTGGGGACAGTGGGGCCATCGTCGTTCAGCCCGATGGCCACGTGTGCCTAGAAACAAAGGAGCAGCAGCACCTCAGTGGACACAATCGTACAAGCCTTAAGCAGATTCTTTAAAGTAAAAAGTTAAGTTTAAAGCCCTCTTCTCCGGTGGGTGCCGACGAGACAGGCATTATTTCAACTGTCCGTACCAGCTGGTCTGTGTGCCACCATCGCGCCTCGGTGGTGCAAACAATGGTGATCTGCCCGCAAGCAGCGACAAGTACGTCACGCAGGTCCGTGCCGGGGATGCGCCTGACTCTCTCATTGGACACAGATTTGTCGGGATAGTGAAAATAAGGGCTCTTGGGAATCGTATAATGAAAAGAAGGGGATATCTGCTTGATCATCGGATGGACCCGTGGGTCTAAGGTCCTGATCTTAGCCACCGACGGCTTCTTCGACAACGTGTGGAAGGACCGGGCGGTCGAAGTGTCTCGGACGAGCACAAGACACTTGACCTTGCGGCCTTTTGCCTTATAGCCTGAAAACTTGCAGAAGCCCTACCTCCCAAAAACCTGCGAAAGCCTAAGCTGGCAGACTCTTGCCTCTGTTGCTTTTGGTCGTCTTCGTTGTTTGCAACATCTCTGACTATTCCAGAAGCCCTTGGGAATTAGAGGTTACTGGGGAGATTGCTTTTCCTGGTTTGCCCAACCTTCGGGGAGATCCTGTCAATGGTGCGTTGCAAGGTGGTGCTTTCCATGGCCTCTGCTTCCCCTGCGGAAATCGCGGATCGCCTGGTGCGAGTTGCTCACGCTGCGGCTCATTCGCTGGACGAGCCGCTGGGCACTGAATTCTTGAAGGAGATTGAAACCCCTAAGGCTTAAGGAAAGCCCCCCCTCAGCCCTCTGCCCAGTGCCCAGAATGTGCTTTGGAGTCGGCGTTTTGGGTTTTTATGCCTACACCCTGAATCATAAGCCCTATGTGTGTTGCAGAAGCCAAGGACTCCCTTTGGCCGGGCGGCCGCGCAGCATGGCATCCGCAGCTCAGCCAGTGCTTAGAACCCGAGGTCGGTTCACGGGGCCTATCGCGGTTGACGATTACGGGTCTTAGGATGGTCTTAGGGCGGGGTTGAGTAGAGGCGTTTTTCAACAGCCCGAAGCTCTGCTCCAAACCTCAAATCGCCCAAGTCGCCCGAAAGCCTGAACCCACGAGCAGTGATTGATGTCGTTTCTAGGTGAGGGATGTGGAGGGCCTGCCGTTACTGGGTGATCTACCGTTGAAACTGCTCAACTACACTCTGAACCTAGGCCACAGGGGTGGCAAGCCTGATGACATCACGGTCCTGGTGGCGCGCGTTACGCACTTCCGCAAGTGAGGTGTAGCCACGTTCCAGTGTCACACGGGCAGTTTTCAAGAGCAGGGCCTTTGTCTCCGCAGTAGACGAAGGGCTGTGAAACAAACGGCGAAGTAAATAGTAAATTGGGACAACTCAGAAAACTGCCCAAAGTCACCCACACTTCCGCAAAGGGAGGTGAGTTCCAGCAGACTTGCAGATGGAAAGTCTACCAAAACGAAAGTGCCTATCCGCCGCCCCCGAACTCCAAAAGTTTGTATCCAAGCATCTCCCCTAAAACGAAACCCCAAACCCCAAACCCCAAACCCCAAACCCCAAACCCCAAACCCTAAACCCCAAACCCTAAACCCTAAACCCAAACCCCAAACCCTAAACCTATAAACCCTAAACCCTAAACCCTAAACCCCCACTCAGATCCCGAGCTGCGCCCTCGTGCCCGAGCTCACGAGGCCCGCCACAGGAATCAGATCAGGTGGGAATTCGGGGAATCTGGTGGAAAACCACAACAGGGTTTTTCAGAAATCTGCGTTGCTTTTGCTAGTCTAGCCCGAGCCTACGCGAACCAGACTCAGGGGGTCGGCGAAACATCAAGTAATTTGTCGGTTTTGCTAGCGTAATCCATGTCCACCGGAATCAGACGAGTTTCGGGATTCCGGCATGGGGGTTTGCTGTGGGGCTTCACGCCACCAAGCCCTGCTTTCCAAATTTGCTGCAAAGCCCCACCCGCCTGCACCCTGCCCGAAGCGGTCACTTTCCGCCTTGTGCGTGAGCAGGGATGAAGATTTCTTGGAGCGGCAGGCTCCCGGCATCCTCTGTGGCAGGGGGATCGAAATCTTCAGGTTGGGGGGCTGTTTCAGGGTGGCTAGACAAGTTTCGGTCTGAGATCCAAGGCCCCCCTTGCGGCCCCCACAAAGCCTTGGAGCCCATCTTCGTGACGAGTGCTGCCTCGTTGGACCTGCTCCACGCAATCCCCACGCAGGTGCTTCTACGACACGAAGGGCCGTTGTCTTGCGAGTTCACGGAGGATGCGGTGCTGCCATGCCAGATCTGTACTTTCCATCCACTTCCTGCTTTCGTGAAAGAACCCGCGCCGCCTTGGAGCTTTGTCACAAGGGGGTTGTGCCAGGTGTATCGTAGACCACACGCCAGTTCTGGCGAGAAGGGGGAGCCCAAAGCGAGCAGAGGACCCGGTCGACTGGCCCAGCCTCCTCGCCGCGCTCAGTGGAGTGGCTGCCAATTTCTCGCACTCCTCAGCCCCTCAGCTTCAAGCAACACCTCGTTGTGTGAGACGCTCGTTGTCCTCAAAGTCCTTGACCTTACGTTGTCTTGTCCATTCCCACGCCCTCCTCAATGTGCAGCCCGGGCACCCTTTTGCATTGTTTCTATCCGGCCCGGCAGACTTTCATGCCTAAAACCGAGGGCCTGCGTATTCCTGAGAGTAGCAGGCCTGCAAACTGGAGCACTTTTTCTCAGCATGCTTTTGTAACCGCCATGCAATCATCAGCTCCCAGGTCATGATCACAGCGGTGGACTCCTCAGTTTAAGTCGCTGCTGCCCTCAGGCCCGAAATCTATCAGGATAACGATGTTGAGAGTTTTGGCTTTGATGCTTTGGCTTAGGACAAGTTTCAATGGGGTGAGGGGTGGCTTGTGCACGTCTGCACGCCGGCTTGACGTTCTGATGTCCCTGACGCAACAGCCAGAAGCTCTTGGGAAGACAGCGTCGTCCGGGAAGCCTTCAGCACCTGTCAGCCTTTTTTGTCCTCCCAGGTGCAGCTACAGGATCACTACGAGGCCGACAAGGGCCGGGCGCCTCGGCAACAAGCAGCTCAGAGCGGGGGGCCCTCGGTAGCCGTCATCGGCCAAGCGACCGAATTCGCTCCCGGAAGCCCAGGAGTTCCACCTGGATGGCTGCTTCGTGGGGTTCGGCGCCGAGTTTGAATTCTCCAAGTAGGCTCACAACTCTGCGCCCGCGCTCGAAGCACTGGATCAGCAAATCCACAACCCGAAGTCTGCTGGATGTCCTGGTCCTTTGCTATTTGTATTGCTGTGCTTTGGTGCGGCCGGGGGGGAAGGGGGTACTGATACCTGTCAAAACAAAGGGTCTCCTAGGAGTTGACCGGGCATGTGCTTGTTTGAAGCGTGGCCTTCGAGGGGCCATGTGTACCAGCTTACGTTGAAGGCGTTGTGGGGCTCTGTGGGCATGAGAATATGAGGCTGACGCTTCGGCCCCTGAAGCCCTGATCTTTTTTTTGCCCCATCGTTGATCATGGCAGCACTGAATTCTGCTTAGACCGGGCAGTCGCGCTGTGCAATCAGGCTTCTGGCCGTTCGCCTCATGGCCCCGGCCCCTGGCGGGGATGGGGGTTTCCAAGTTTACATTGCCAGGGGGGTTTGATGGTTTGAAGCCCGAAGCCACGCACAAGAAAGCAAAGCCATGCGAAACCCTCAACGAAGCAGAGAAGCCCTAAACCAGGGGAAAGTAACGCTGTGGTGGTCTTCGAGGGACTGGTATCGGTTAGCCCTGAAATCCTTCCGGACCCTACACCGCCCAAACGAGCTGAGGGTTTCAAGCGGTGACTGCAGGTGGTGTAGGACGGTGTACACCGTGTAGGGTAGTTTGGGCTCACTGCGCCCAGACCGTTTTCATCTCCGGCGCGCACCACGACATGTTCCTTCGCGCCAGCCAGGACTGGATGGTGCACGAAGGCCCCCAGACACGGTTTCTGACTTTGGGGGTGCTGAGCAGAATTTTTCATGGAAGTTCGAGAATTCTTGGCGATGGCCGTTGTTTCAAGTTTCTCTCACGGCGCTCCAGGCGTATGAAGAGTACGGTTGAGATGCAACACGCAAGAAATCCCCACAGAAATTCTCTTGAGGAACTAAAGGAAGACTCAGTTTTGCAGAAGCCTTGGGGCCCCAGGCTTCAACGAATTCATGGCTTTGCCCTTCGCCGGAGGCTCAGAGCGGCCCAGAACCTCCCTGTTTTTTGGTTTATTGTTCAGTTTACATCCTTCGGCACGAGAAGGAAAGAATTTCAATCTTACACTCAAGCGCACCGGTGTCGATACGATGCAACCTAGGGCAAAGTTTTTTTGAGCTTGATATTGTCCGTGTTGAAGACGAACGGGTTGGGATGCCCTCTGCATCTTCCGCAAGAGTATGTTTAAATGGATTGGGTCGTGGGACTCTGAGGAAACACACAATCAAGTCGAAAGAGGCCGCGAACGCGCGTGATTTCCATGCTCGTCGCGAAATATTCATGAACCAACCTGCATATTGGGGAAAAGGATGGATTGAAGCCTTTCTGGCAAGTTGCCGCAGCTCAAGTGTTTTCAGTTTGGTGAGATGCTTGAAGAGGCGATGTCCTGCCATGATGTCTCAGAGGCTTCATCGGTCTTGTTGGTTTCCGCTTGGTGCCACCGCAAGCACTCAGAAGTTTCGCAGCCCTGACCGAAATCCCTTCAGTCCAGCAATTCCTCCTTCTTCCCCAAAGGCCACAATTTCTGCCGAGGTTAACGTCCTGAAGTCGTCCTTCGCACATGGCACAGTGGGCGTGCGCCGCCCAGAAGTTTGCCAAGGGTTCAGGGTTTCAAGACACGCTAAGGGGACGCTGGTCGACCCCCATCCCAAATCATGAGATTTAAATCCCCACCCTCCAAGCCTCTGACATCCCCATGGAACGGCAGCCTTCTAACTGGTCTTGGGGCTTGAGAGTTTGGGGGGCTGTTCGGTTTTCGGGTCTTGAGCCCCCGGTACGGGAGAGTGTATCGGAGTTTGCCCCGAAGACCCCCCCAAGCAGGCTCTAGGCGGGGCTGATCTCCAGGCCTTGGCTGCCTACAGCAGGCAGGCGCGAGAGGACCGGGCCGTGTTGGAAGTGTGTTCGCTCAGTCCTCCGCAAGTGTTGCTTGGGTACAATTCGGCCGCCAAGGCTGCATGTCGGGGAACGCATCAGAGTAGACAGTGTATACGGGAGCCTTCACATGTCGAAGTTGGTCCTGTGAAGCCCACAGTCATCTGGTGACAGTGAGAACGGCACCCTGAACCGAGAAGTTCAGTTCGAACAGGCCTGTCCTGCTCTTCGCGGACCTCCTGGCGTCCGGAGCAAAGAGTGGCGCCTTGGTCCTCTTCAGTTGCAGAAGTAATTTGGGCTGGCCGCCCATTCTCACGCTCAACTGGGTTTAGCTGTTTTTAGGACAAGGCCATTGTGATCTACCTCGTTCGTGTCCTGCTAGTTGGTGATGCGAGAGCAATGGTTCTTCTGGTTCTCCTCCCATAGCAGATGGCCCGTGCAGGCGAACAACTGGCAATCTAGTCGTAACCATCGCCGTGCGGAGCATGGTTCTTGTTCTCCTCTCCAAGCCTCCAAGCCTCCAAGCCTCCAAGCCAACAAGCCTCCTGCCCTTTTTTCAACCGATCTCCCATAAATCCCCGGTCCGCCAGGGAGTCCAAGAAGTTCGGACACCTCTGGTGCACGGCGAAGAGCCGGGGCCTGGGCTTTGAATTCCTTCGGGAGCTCTCAGAGCTGGGGCCCAGGCACGTTGAAGTGTGGGAGGGGCTGAAGGCCAGCTACTGCCATGATTTTCGGATCCGAGCTTCCACTTCGGGGTGCCGCAATGCACTATTGCATTTTTTTCGGCTATCTCGACATCGCTTGGGAGGTTCGGAGTTTGGGGCTTGTTTTGGGCCCTTGAACCCTCTGGTCTCCACCCTGTTCGTCGAGTTGCTGAGCACGACTCTCCATCTTCGGGCTGAATCCGCTCCATGTCAGCTTCTTGAAGAGGGCGCGATGATGACGACTTCACTAGATTCGGCAGAAATCTGGTAGAGACAGCTCGGAGTAGGACGAACAGCCGTTCCAGAAGTGACATGTGTGAGAAGCTTCACACGGAAGTGTTTTTGAGGGCGCCCGAAGAGCACACCCTCCCAACTCGAAAACTCTGAGCCTGGGCAGGGAGTGACTCCCCCCGAGCCCCGAACCATAAATGCTCTGATCCATGAAGAGCCCTAAACCCTAAACCCTAAAACCAAACCCTAAACCCGAAACCCTAAACCCAAAACACCCTAAACCCTAAACCCCAAACCCTAAACCCAGGCAGCTCACCCATGGTCTTGATGGTCCAGGGTCTGGACCTGTCCTCCCCATGGTGCGGCGTGCAGGACTCTTTGAGATCATGGACTTCCCATGGGCTTTCAGGGACTTTCAGGGACTTCTAGAGGGCTGAGCCGAACTTTTCGTTTGGGTTCTCGTTTCGGTTCTCAGGGCTTGGGCGGAGACTTTCAAGCAATGGCTAGAGTGTCTGCTTTCGTAGCCAGCCGAGCATGTGCACATGGCCACGTGATTGTGCATGTCGGCTGAGTCAACAGAAACCGCAGGAGAGATGGGGTCTCCCGCCGCCTAAAATCTGCAACTTTTGGGCCCGAAGTTTTTTCGAGTGCTTTGGTTCTGCAGCTGCTTCATGTTCAAACTTCAAAGCAAGGCATGGATGGAGGATGGTGCAAGCACAAGCTTCCAATCCCTAGAGCCGGTACTTACTTCAAATCCTTACGCCTCTGACCGAATTTCTCCTGGAGCTGTCATGACACCTGGAAGCCCCTCAACTTCTCATGCCACCTCACCCAACACCAAGACCTAAGCCAGAACCCAACATTCGGACACCGCATGACTGCGCGGGCGCAAGCCGTAGTGGCTTTGAACGCCCATGGCGTCACTTCGTCATAGGCCAACTGCAGAACTGGAGACGCCAGAAAGCGAAGGCAAGCAGCTGGAATGCGGCAGCTGTGGAAGGTCGTGGGCGGAGCGGACCAGGGGAGCCCCAGCGGCCAAAGTACCCTTGCGGGGAGTTGCAGGCAAAATTGCACATTTAGGCTTTAGAGATGTCGAGGGTATTTCTGGGGAAGTGTTTTCAGGTTTAGAAGCTTAGAGCTGGGTGTGGTTTGGGCTTCACAGCAGGGCCCGGGAGAACAAGGCGCAGAACATGGCAGATACTGGCATGCTGAAGTTGCACGCAGCCGTGCGCCAACACATCCCGTGAAGTCCAACACCAAAGATTAGGCGCAAAAAGTCGCAGCGAGCCGGCAGTTTGGATACGACCCAGCCCTCAGAAGAAAGCAAACTCCCCGAACAATTCGAAGTGTCTCCAAATCAAAAAGAAAGCTGCCCGAGGATCCTGGTCCGCGAGGGCCGGGACCTCCAGAGCCCGGCCTGCGCCGAGCGCCTGCGCTCCGGCGCCCTGGTGGAGGAGACGAAGCCCCGCAAATTCTGAGGCAAAATTCTGGATTTTTTGTTAGTGAACTTGAGGTGAACAGGGGCTTTCAGGCGGAAGTTGTGCCCGATTTTTCTCGCCTTTGCCGACCCCCCTCCTGCAAGAAGCGCTTGGCTCCCCCAGGAGCTCGAGCTGCGTGTAGGAAGGCTCCGCTTCCGGAAGTGACTTGGTCCTTTTGAGCCCAAAACCACTTGGAGCTCTTGGGGATTTCGGAGGTTGGAGGCTGATAAAAAGGCTTGACAAACTTAAGTTTTGAATGGTCGATCACATCAGGGCCGTTGGCACTGGGTGTCGGGCTTCGGCGGATTTCAGACAAAAAGGTTTTCAAACAACATCTCCAAGCCTCAGCCAGCGGACCCCTAGACCCTGCAAAGCCAAACCCCAAGTCAGTTAAACCCCAAGTCAGTGACCCAGGTATGCGGGCGATGGCCCTCTAGAAGGCTGGGCGAGCGCCGCTTGGCTTGGTAATTGGGGCTTCTAAGGGCCACTTTTAAACTGTCAAGATTTGCGGGGCGGTCGTGGGCTGCAGATGGCTCGGGACATGAGGATGCAGGGGTTTGCGTAAGGATCTGTCCGCGATTGATGCCCTCAACATAAAAACACTGTGCGCCCTACAAGCCCAAGCCGTACAAGCTAAAGGCACGAGCAAAACAAAGGCAAACATACCCCCACCAGTGCGACACAGGTCAGCTTGGCCTCCGGGAAGGTTCTGCTGGTGCGGGTGGCGGAGATGCCCTGGCCCTTGACACTTGAATTTTCCCACTTGGGGGATGCAGCGTTTTGTCCCAAGCAGTGGATGCACAGCATAGGCTTCTAACGTTGAGCGTAGGGGTTTGGATTGCCGTGTCGTAGCACTGTTCGGGTCACAGGCATGCTCTACCCCACACGAACTGCGGGGCTGCTGGCCCGCACCCCATTCAGCACCAAGCGTGCGGGCTGCTGAGACCCGCACCGCTTTTCAGCACCAAGCAAACCTCAACTGCGGGCCGCTTGCCCTCACAGCTTTCAAGCCCAAGCCAACTTCGTAATTTGTGCCGGCTGCCGGACCCCTCCACTTTTCAGCACCAAACCAACATCAAATTCGGTGCGAGCCGGTCGCCTGCACGGCTTTCACCCCCCAAGCCGACTTGACATTTTGTGCGGGTTGATGAGGCCTTCACCACCTTTCACCAATTCAACCTCAAATTTGGTGCGGACCGCTCGCTCGCACAGCTATCAATTCCAAAGCAAGATCGAAAATCGTGCAGGCTGCCGACCCGGTGCTTTTTAAGCACCAAGCTTAAATTTTTATGCGGGCCAGGCACCCGCACAGCTTGCAACCCCAAGCTAACCTGGAATCTCATGCGGGCTGCTGCGAGCCGCACCGCTTTGCAGCACGAAAGCAACAAAAGGTTTGGCGTGGTTGTACTCACAGCTCGCATCGCGTTGTTCATGAAAGTGCTTGCGAATCGAAGCACGAAGAACAGCATAAATGGCATCGCGGGCACATGCTCAAACCAAGTCCTTTGAAACCACCGTGGCGCCCAAACCCTCTCAGCGAGGAAACCTCGGGACGAGGAGGTGTGGAGGATGGAGCTCCAGCCCGAAGTTTTCCAGGTCCTCCGTGACAAGGCCTTGGGCCCAGCAAGGTTGGTTCGGCTGTCGTTCGGGGCACCCCACTTCGAGGGCCCGAAGTCCCTCCCAAGTCTTTCTTAGCGATCCAGGGCCGAACCCCAAACTCGACCTTCCAATCATCTCCAATCCCATGAAGCATGAAGGGTTCCCCGGTGAGGTCACGGAGCCCCGGAATTCTGGCGAGTACAACTCCTTCTTCCCCAGTGCCGGCCACTTCCGTTGCGCTGGTTGCCAGACGCCGCTGTACTCCCCGCAGTCGAAGATGAAGGCCCCGAAGCTGGTAGACGCAAACCCCGAAATCTCTTTTGCACATCCCACGCAGATGCAGGCCAACTGCGGGTGGCCAGCCTTCTCGAAGTGCTACACGCTTGAGGCGACAGCTCGTGTTGAGGGTTCGGAAGATTCTCTTTTGTTTCATGTTGGTGGCGGGATGTTCGGCTGACCTTCAAAATGCCCCATCGGAGTCCCGGCTCAGGGTAGGGAGACTGTTGCCGTCCTGTTTTTTGGGAACCCCAAGCTTTGCCATCGCACCCAGGGGGCTCTTTGTTGCTGGTGGTGTTGTGCTGGCCTTGTGCAGTCCTTTCTGCCCCCCAAAGGCACTCAAGCTCTCCCAAGTGCTCGCCGAGCTCGGGCTGCTGCCGTTGATTGCCATTGATGCCATCTTCACTTTCTCATACGGTTATTTCAGCCTGCCCTTTGGAACCCCCCTCAAACAAAGGGCCCCGCAAGATTTCTAGACACCAAAGCTGCCGAACCTGACGTGTGCCTGGCGCCCCAACAGCCCGTTCCCAGCCTTGCGGGAGGCAGAAGGCCTTGCATCGGTGGTCGCCCAGGCGGACATGAAAGCTCCCAAAGCTCTTGGGGCCTTGAGCCTGGCCCTAAACCCCACGGCCCCCATGCAAAACTTTCAGGAATGCTCAGGGCTTCGGTGAGGGCTTGGAGTCTTCATAAGTTGAGTTTTGAGGTTGTTGCGTATTAGGGGGTGAGAGGTTCAAGTTTAATGCCTGTGTGGAACTTAGACAGCAAGTGGAGAAGACACCAAAACACCCCAGAACTCCAACTCTTTGAAGCTCAAGCGAGCTTTGACAACTCCCCGAACTTTTACACCTAGAGTCCATGCATCCGCCCAATACCCCAATACACAGGTGGACTGGACATCGGGAGGCCGCGAGATCCTCTGCCGCAACTGCGGTGGGCACCTTGGCCACGTCTTCATGGACGGAGCCTTCCATGGAGGTGCCAGAGCATGAACGGAGAGAGCACCCAACGAAGAGTCGCCTGTTCTTTGCCATCTCGCAGTGTGCTGTCTTGTCCAGAGATCCTGCAGCTTGGGGGTGGTCGCTGTTGCACCCTGGCCACCCTTGGCGGCCCTGGCAGGCGACACTCCCGAGAGGCACTGCGTGAACTCGCTTTCCGTGGTATGGGTGGAAGAGCCCAAGGCGAATCCCGGATCGTTCAGAGTGGAACCCTAAGCCCCTAAGTTCGAGGCTCTCAAAGAACAAAACACAGTATATTGCTATTCAGTAAGACCAAACATCGTCAAGGCTCTGGAAGAAGTGGTCTGTGATATGCGGACTTTCGAGCGTCAGCTTCGTGAGCACAGACGCCAGGATGAAGAGCATTTCCCAAACACATTGAACATGATTGAGCTAGGATCTTGACGCAGGATCTCCTTATGCTAGCCTGGTTTGCTCGTGCCGTTGTTGGTTGTTTTACTTTCTTCATCTTCTTCATGTGCTCGGCCATCAAAAGCTAAGGCTACAGTGGCACGTATTCTGGCGTGATGGACCGGTGAGGTCTCGGCCCGTGCTCCCCCTTGCAGGCTCATGTTCAGACTGGGTGGCCAGACGAACCCAAGCAGCTCACGCCCGCAGCTGAAGCAGTTCATGCCGACAGGCAGGCCAAGCTCGTGCTCTCGGAGCTTTCTCCACGTCCATCACAGGGCAATCGCATGCGACTGCCCGAGCGGCTAGCGGTGCCCATCCTACCCCATCTGAGTCGAGTCGTGCGCAGCAGAGACCAGCGGGGAAAGGAGCTTCTTGAAGACGTGACTTGCATGAACAGGAGAGCGGAGTCAAATCAGCCCCCATCACCGGGAACGATCCCATGAGCGAAACATCACATTGTTTGTTCAAGTGTCTTTTTTGGGATAGGGCCAGGGAGGTTATTTGGGGCCCTAGCCCAGCCGAAGCCCTTGAACTGAAGACCCAAATCCGAAATCGAAGTACCCCGTCTCTCAGGAGCCTTTCGCACCTGCCTCGCCCTACTCGGGCTTCGTTCGCCAGGCGTCCAATGAGCAGGCGGTGCTGATGCGAAGCCAGACAACCCTAAAGCGTCCCCCCCCTCCCCCGCCCTCGGGTCCCGAAACCTGTCCGCCTTGGATCAAACCACCTCGCCAGTCTCTGATTCTCAGGCAGAGCGTGTGCTCCTTCCACTCTGGCAGGCCGCCAAGGCGCGAATCTCCCTCGTGCAAGCAACGTGCAGTGGACGTCTCCACACTGTGCTAGATGGCCTTCCAAAAGCGTACCATGTTGAATCCAGGTTCGTCAGAAAATGGTCACAGGTTTGAAGGGCCCTTGGGGTGCACATTTCCCTCGAACCGCTTTAGACGAAAAAGCCAAAAAAAAGCCAGGAGGCTCTGCGTCAGGGGCGACCGTCCCGGCTGCTGGCCCGGGAGCCCGCTGCGGCTCTGGGGGGCTGAAATCTGTAGGTCTCCCGAACCGGGGGCTCTGAGCTTCTCTTGATTGGCGGATTCAGTGCTTTTTCGGTAGTCTGGGACCTTTGGGAGCTTTTGGGTTTGGGGCTCCGATGTCTTTGGGTGTTGCGGGCTTCGGGGGCCGAAGGCTGCCGAAGCTTTCAAGCAGATTCTCACCTCAACCATCTTGATGCTGGTTCTTACATCAGAAGACAACTCCATGAACACAAAACAATCGCAAACTTTTTCGTGCTCATTCGAAACCCGAGTTCCCAAATCCGACCTTCTGTGCTCAGCAAGAGGCCGCCGCAGCCTACGCTTACTTCGCCCAGCAGCAGGTGGCGTGCGCGGAGGCTCCGACTTGAGGGTTTTGAGCGGTTTTGAGGGAATGTCGGGATATGGGCCTGAGTATCGATTCAGGTGCAATTATAGGGAGCCCGGAGCCCCAAGCCGGAAACTATCAAACCGCAAGCCCACAAAGCTACCCGGATCTCGTGAGTTGGATTCAGTGTCCGCGTTTGCAGTTTGATGCGCCCAGAGAGCTCGAGAGGCGGAGGCCACTGCTTCCTTGGCCGCGGCGTGGACTGGGCACATGCCCCGTGTCTTAGCCTGGGCCTGGGACGAGAGGCAGCTTTGAATCCACAAAGCTCATGACTTGAGCCCAGAAGTTTGAACCCTTGATGGCAGAGTAGGCATTGCTTCAAGCTAAGGGTGGGGCATGCTTGAGCTTGTTTGGGTCCTGTAGCCCCATCGGAATCCCGGTGCTTCGCAGAAGCAGAGGCTACACACGTATTCGCCGGGTCTGCCCAACGCCTGAGCTATCTTCAGGCTGTGGGCCGGGCGCAGGAGTCCCTCAAAGACTTGACCTTCTTGCAGGCGGTCTTCACCAGGCCCAGAGGAAGTTGAGGCTTTGTTTCGGGCATGTTGAACGTCTTGAGCCCGCAAACATTAGGCCCCTAGACTGAAGAGTCTGTAGTACGTGGGACCTTATGCCCTTAGCAGTGCTCTGTTCACCGCTACGATGCGTGGGGTTTGGAACATACACTGACACCACATTACACCACATAGAGTTCTCACATCTCCACTGACCTGCAAGCTTCTCAAGCTTCTTGGAGGCTTGTGGAAGGAGGTATTAGGCCCTTCACCCGTCAACCCTCCCGGCCACAGCATGCTATCGCGGGGACCCGCCGTCAACCCTCAGGTGGCCAGTGTGGGAGCTCATGACGCGGCTCATGGCACGACCGCCTCAAGGAGACCGTGCCAACTGCATGCTTTTGAGGCTTTTTGGGCTTTTCTGGGCTTTTCTGGGCTTTTCTGGGCTTTTCGGGGTGGGTTCATTCTTCATTCCATCCGGACCATGTGGGTTGTGCCATGTTTGGCCCTTTGCGGTCCCGAAGATGCGTGAGGTGGCGATGATGCTTGCTGAAGGAACCTGGTTTTTAAATTCTCAACTCGCCCAAGCAAAGCTTACACCTAAACGCTCCAGACAAAAACCCTGAAAACACTCCTTAAGAAGCCCTGAAGAAAGCCTGAGCCCCTGCTCTAAAAATTGGCTTGGCAGTCCAAGTTTCCGAGGCCGAAAATGGCCTGCATAACGGTTCGCCTTCAAAAAGGTCCTCATTAAGAAAGGACTCATCGAGGGGCTTCAACCCGGCTCCTGCATCTCCTTGGAGCCGTGCCGGCGGACGGTGGCCTTCTACCGGAGGCTCTCTTTGTGGACCCACGCTGGTTTAAAGTTTAGGGTTTCTGAGGGGGGCTGTTGACGGGCTGTAGGTCCAGGCCCTTTGCCATGGTTCGCCCCTCCTTCCAAAGCGCTTCTTGAAGCTGCCCTCGAGGCTGTCGATGCCGTCGGATGCCCAGGATATGCGGCAACCCAAAGTTGACCTTTTTAAAGTCCTCTGCCGTGTTCCTCTCTCCCCTCACAAAACCCCCTCCCCCCCCCCTTCAAAGCCTCCCCGCTCCGCCCAAAAAAGCCAAAGCCCAGGTTGGAAAAGGAGCTCCGTCAGTGCCCGCCGGCTTCCGAGGCCCAAGTGTCCTACCGCCAGGGGCCTCGGTTTGTGGTCTTTTGGGGGGGGCATCCTTTTGAAGGTTTAAAAGGGTTTGTTTTGAGGGGTTCGGGGCTTGAGTAGCTTTGTACGCGACATGCTGCACAGTGTGGTTTTGCTGGCGATGTGTCGTGACTTGTTGATTGCCTGCCTGTTGCATGCCCAGTCTTGCTTGCCTTCGTGGGGATGAAGCGCGGTGGTGCGCTGCGTTTCGGTTTGTTGTATCGACCTGTCATTCATTTCGGGGACTTGGGGCCATGGCATGGCATGTCGTGGAGTGTGGGTTGTCGGGTGCCTCGTTGTTTTGAAGCATCTTCCCATGGCACTATGGGGATTGGCTATTCTCTGTACTTGCCTGTGTCGGCATTCGGGCCCTGGCGTCCACAAGTGTTTGCCCAGATTATGGACAGGCACAAACCAGTTCACAGTGGCACGTCCGCTTGTTGACCTGGGACATCGGCGATCCTGGTGTTCTGCAGTTATGAGAAGCTATGCAAGCGCTGTTGTGTTCCTTGCAAACTGCATACTCTAAAGATCTGCAAAGCGTCCCAGACTCGAGTGAAACGACGTCGTTCTGAAAGCTGTTTTGAGGCACGACTGGGAAACGAATTCGCAGGCGAGACCAGGGACAGCAAAGGATCCCACACCGCACAACAGCACGTCTGGATAACCCTGCACCCAAGCAAGAACTTGTTGTGTTTAGCACTTCCGAAGCGCCTTTAGCAGAGCCCAAAACAAACCCCCCAACCCCCGCCAAACCAACCCCCAAGAAACCCCGCAAACCTCTCCAAGAACATGGTACCCTGCGGCTCGACAGCAACTTGACGGCCTGCACCTCAGGGGGGCTCAGGTCCAAGGCCAAGGCCAAGCCTTGGCTTTTTTTGTGGACTCTGAGGATTTTGAACTGCCTCTTTTCATGCTCCACGACTCTACGCCGCTACAGTTTATGGGGGTGAGTCTAGAGTCTAGAGTCCAGGAGGGTTATCACCCAGTCCGGGGACCCGATCGCCCGCATGTGTAACCTCGTCAGGACTAAGGTAGTGATCCAAATGTAGCCTGCGCCCATGTGCCAATCTGCCATCCTCTGCATCCCCCCTTCCAAAGCATCGGCTCCTTAGATCGCCCCTGCAGAGGGAGACCTCATGCGCCTGCATTCTACAGCCGTGTGCATCGCAAGCCCGCCGCCCCCAACGCGCCCAGAAGCTTGCCAGTGTAAGGAGCTCCTCCTGCGCCAGGGTGGACGGATCCCAGAGTTGGGAGCCCAAGTCGTCAGGGTTTGCTCTTCACCTTTGGGGTTGTAGGCGGCTCACAATTATTGAGTTGATGGTCCGAAGCCCGCACTGCTTTTCAGCCAAAGGTCGGCTTGAACTTCGGTATCTTTGCAGCATCAACGCCTCGAGGTTTCTCCAAGCCTCCTTTTCAAGTTGTCGGAGGGCCACACACACATCTGGGGCCTTAAGATGTCAGATGCACTAAGGGCGCAAGGGTTCTACCGCAGCCAGCCCCGAGTTTTTCTGGATAAGGCTGCTGCTGTTGGACATCACTCTTGTCCTGCAGCGCATGGGCCTTGAGGACCTTGACGCCCTTGGAGCCTTAAATGTGCGCAAACCCCCAAAACACTAAGTGAGCTCTAATCCTAAACTCCCAACCCCAAACACTACACCACCTCGAAGGATATGGAAGACTCGCACGGCTGGGTTGGCAAGTTGCCTGCTCAGAAGACTCCTTCGGCTGCCTAAACGCTGAGTCCCAGAGCGAAAGCTACTTTCGTTTGGTTTTGCTTCTCCTTGCTTGGGCCAGTTCTCGGAATAGAACACGAGGCAGCGCTGTAGAGCTGCAAATGCGACGACATCTCACCATGGCCACGGTAGATGTGTAAGATAGATGCTGCAGAAACCAGTTGTGCCCACACAACGTCTGCTGATCCGTGACCCCCTATAGCCCCGGAGCCTTGCGAGCTTCAGAGTTTGCAGTCAGAATCTCCGACGGCATTTCAGAAAAGCCCGAAAGTGTGAAACCAGAAGCCCGGAAGCTCGAAAGCAAGGTACATCACGCAGCGTGCAGTGAGTGTGGCGGACTTGCCAGTGAAGTTGGGCTGGGAGGGGCCCGCGCCTTGGTTCGAGGGCTCAGGGACGTTTCGGGTATGAGCATGTAGGGTCTGAGGGGGAGGTTTAGGGTTCAAAGAGTTCAGAGTCTGCGGCTGAGGTTTCGGGATGGTTTAGCAAGCTCAGGGCAAGGGGTGTGAGGCCTGGGGTCCTTAATTAATGGCGTCAGGGCCATGGCTTTGAGGTTGTATCTGAGGCCCGAAAGCCGTCGAGAAACGAAGAGCTTGTCCGAAACGGAACTGGTAGCTTCGGGTTTTCGAGCTGTGTATGTGCCTCGGGGATAGCTCTGGCTTAGCTTGATCGAAAAGGACGCAGTGGCATCCGAAGCGTACCCCTGAAGCCCTGCAACCGTGAACCCTAAATGTCACAGGCTACGCATCTCAAGTGGACTCCACCGCTGTCGGCGCCCTGGCATTGGGCTGTTTGTAGCTCAATATTTTTTTTGGGCTGCTGAAATCCAGGAGCATGAAGGCCACTGAATGCCAGGAGTAGCAGCAGACCTTCCATCTGCTGCCAAAGTCTAGTAAACCCATGACCTCGTAGGGGTGGAGGCCTCTATTCAAAACGAAGAGACCTCCAAAGCCTGGCCGAAGATGCGCTCAGATGGGGACGTGCAGCTGGAGCCGCAGCGCCTGGGCAAGCGCAAGCGCGCCTGAAGCCCAGCCATGCTCGGCAGCGTAGGAGGATTCGTGTCCCGAAGAATGCATGGTGTTGACAGGGAGGCTACCCTGCCTGTGGAAGCGATCCAAGGCTTGAAGAGCCTGCGAAAAGCATTCTAAGGCAGTTTGCCTCTGGCTTTCTCTCGTTTGTACTTGCGCTTTTGCTCGCCCAGCCAAAAAACTCCAAAATACTCCAAAAGCACAACCTCCTTCCACCCCCAACAAAAGCCAGGGTGGTGCTCCCAAGGCTCGCCGCACTCGCCTTCCTTTTGGATTCTCGGAGCGTCGTGCCGGACCTCAGCACCAGACAGCAGCGCATCGATCTTAGTTTTAGTTGCAAAATAACCGACCAGACTCAAGACCCAGACAGAGGCTTGGAACTTACGCCCGCCTTTCCCGGAGTTTCCTGTCCAGGGTAATAATCCGAATGCTTGTCAGGCTGTCTCGGAGGTGGGTTCCGAGAATCATTTTCAGGTCTCATGTCGCAAGCCTTGGGCCCTACATGAAGACTTAAGCTCTGTCTTGAACCTGCCAGGTGCATCTGTGTACATCCTGATCCTGGAGGGCGCTTCCCGCACAGCTTTTGAGGCGGGGCTTCAAGTTTTCGAAAAGGTAAGAGACACAAAAAAAGATTCTGCACTTAAAGCAAGCACTTGTGAACTGAAGCATGGCGTGGTGCTGTGGGTGTAGCCAAGGATGATCAGGTGTCACCTTGGTAGCAAGAGGCGAGGTAGATGTCATGGAGAGAGCAATTAACGCCCCGATGGTTCCGGTGTTCTGCACAGAGCTCATGGCATTCAGTCAAGAGACGGACTTGCTTTCGCTGAAGCGTGAGACAAAGTACAGGATATGCGCATGTCGCCCTAAAGCGCCTCATCCTGGTGCCCCGTAGGCTTTGTGCCCCAAGACGATGGCCTTCCTGCGACGGCAGAGCCGTTTGCAGCGCCCGGCACCACTCCCCTGCAAGGGTTGCGGGCGGCTTGGGGTTGGATTGCTTCGTGGGCCACAGATTTGAGGAATGGCTCAGGGGGGGTTCAGGATTGGGAGGATTAGTGGTTGCGGTTTGGGGCAACTGTGGCTTTGCAAGTGGCATGCGGGTTTCGAGGGAATGTGTTGTTGGTGTGAGCCAGGGCTGTTTCTACGAAGCTCTGGAGTTAGTTCTCACAACCCAACACACCCCAAAATGGAACCTTGCAAAGCCCGAAACACATTGCGTGACGACAAGGTACATGCAGCTGAAGAGAGCGATAGCAGTCGCAAGTGGCGCGTGCGCATCTCAGGTGACACGTGTTTTTGGGGGTCGTCTCCTGCAGCGGATCAGAGAAGACCCAAATACAGCCGAATTTCTCCAGAGCCTCAGTGCTGCCTGACATCAAGCCCCAAACTAGGTCGTTGATCTGGCCCTCTTCCATGCGTTGCACGGCGGCACGGCCGGGCCCTCAGCATCCAAAGACAAATCTAGTTGCGGTTTTGCATATTTGAGTCTGATTCTCCAACATGCTCTTCGGGCAACGTGGGATTGGCACCAGGAACCCCGGCGGTGTGGAGGCTTTGAGTCTTACGTTGAGGGGTGCCGCTTCAGGGCTTAGGGGTGATTGGAATGCATGGAATTCCGGCCAACATTTTTCAACCGACTGCAAAAGGTGGCGAACATGGTGCCTGCCCTCACTGGTCGGCCCAGCGCTTTCACGGGCGAGAGCTGGGGAGAAGGGGGGGTTGGGAGGGATATCTGTTGGTCCAAGGGTCCCTTCGCTTCTCAGGCAGTTTTGAAGAAGAGGTTGGCTTAAACCTTTAAACTAAACTTAACTAAGCCAAGCCTTGCTGTAAGGCTTGAGTAATGGTGTCTGTGAGGGTACTCAACTGGCAAGTCCCCACATGGAAGTCTGACGAGAGGACTGGGGATATTTGTTGTCTTTCGCGCTGAAGTGGGCAGAAGCCACAGAGTTGGCGTTGTAGGAACAAGTGAAAAGGGGCCGAATCTGCCCTTGCCTGAGTTGCCAGGCTTCTCTTTCGACATGCGCAAGGACTCAGAGAGGAGAGCCCGCTCCTTAGAGTACATTGCCAAGAATGATTCAGAATGTTAGCGGCACAGACAACGTGCCCCATACCTCGGCAGGTGCAGGAGGTTGCAGGACTGCGCCACGATTCGAACTCGCAGTGGCCGAGGGTTTCCGGCTCGTGTGTTACTGGCTTGTGAATGTGGCTGGAATGAGCCATGGCCGGCGGAAGCATTCACAATTTGGCAGAGGCATTGTGCTCCTCCTCCTGTTCTTCGTGCTGAGCTGGCCGCTGCACTTTCGAATCTCCTGTGGCTGGCGTGGCTGGCAGGATGCGACAGCGCCCTTGCTTGGTTCATGGTAGTTCTTTCTTTAGTTGGCTTCTTACCTCTACTTACAAGATTGAGGATGCTGCTTTGTGATAATCTTATGGGAAAGATGTGAGATGCCAGGTTAGGCCCAGACAAGAGTGCTTCTTCTTTCCTGTGTTCGCGCGCTCTACGGCATCTCAACTCGCTCCAGCGAGCTTGCTCCAGCTAGAGCAGAACCTCAGATGGCCAACTCCAACCAATTACGTGCGAACCGTTGCCGCCGTTGCCATGAGGTCCTTGGCAAACGACAGGGCCAGTTGCATCCTTCAGCATCTGGAGCGCAATGGCCGCCACTGGACGGACACCCTGCAGATCTCCAAGGCGATTGTAGGGGACGAAGGCAGCAAGAAAGACGTCAACAAGTTCCTCTATGAACTGGAAAAGGAAGGGAAGATAGAGAAGAGACTATCGCCAAACAACCCAAACCGAAAAGAATGGAGGTTGGCGGAGCCTGCGCACATGCCTCCCAGCGGCAGGGAGGCAGAACGGCCTCCGCAGGACGCGAGCGACAGCCAAACCGGCTGCTTTGAGCAGAGTTCGGCCGGTCAGCTGCAAGGTCGAAGTAGCTCAAGGGAGGGTGGGGAGGCAGAAGAGCATCGAGAGGCCAGCCAGATGGGCTTGCCCGAACGTATGGCTGCAGCTTCCGCGGCGCTGGAGGACCCAGGCAAGTTCAGCGATTTGGCAGACTCCCTGAAGCCCAAACCGCTGTCCGACAGCCAAAGGGACACAGTTCATGGCGTGCTGAGGGTTGTGAAGGAACTGGCTGACAAGACGTTCGCGAACGAGTCTGGGACGGCCGTTCTCGAGTTGATCGGCTCGAAATCATACGGTGTTGATATTCACGGAAGCGACTGGGACTATGCTCTTCGAATGGGACCATTTCCCATTCATGATGCAGCATGGGGGCGACTTTGTCAGGATGTGCGGGCTGCTCTCCCGGCAGTCATGGTTGAGCCCAGGAACAAGTCTGTAGCCCTGCACTTGGACGACGCTGTCTTTGAGATCGTTCCCTTTAACGGGCCGTTTGATGAAGAGAGTGTGCCGTTCGAGAATCTATTTGGGACTCCCAATCAGGGCACCATGAGTCGAGCCGCAGCGCATGCCATGCTCAAGGAGTTTTTTGATGGTTGGCGTGGGGCCGTGAATGCAGCACGGGTGGCAAAGGCTGTGTTCTGTCCAAACATGGCAGAGGCGGTGCCGTGGGGCCACCTGCTGATGCTACTTCTTCGCAGGCTTGCGAAGGAGAGTCGTGGCTCGGAGCCAATGCAAGTGGACTGGTCTGGCGTCGAGCTATTTTCGGCATTGTTGCAACAGATGATCAGCTGGCCTGTCCGGACTCACGACAGCCCCCTGCGACTGGCACAGAGATGGGCCAAGAACCGCCACTGGGACCTGGATGAGGCATTCATGGAATGGAGAGGGCGGGCAAGCGAGATCAGGTCGAAGTGGGATGGAAAAGACGAGCACACTCGAGCTTGAACCCCAAACCCCAAAGCACCCATAGCCTTCCCGAAGAACCTCAATGAACCCAAGGGTAAGCGGCACTTTAGAGCAGACAGTTGAAGTCCAGGCTGGCTGGAAGTGCGAGACGGTCCTGGAGGGAATTCCAGAGGCCTCGAGCCCCAGAGTCCAAGGTTTAATGGCCCACTCGCAGTGCTTTTTTTGGGAGATTCTGAATCATCTGGGGCCTTTGGAATGAGGCTTTCAGGATTGAGCCCCAAATGGCCACATCATTTCTTTCGAGGTGCAGGGCCAGGGCTCGTCACCTCGTGTTCAGATGCGTTCCACAGGACCGTCTACTGTGGAACATCGCGAAGAAACATGGTCACGACCTCAGCTGTGGCTGGGCTTGCGAGATTGACATTGAGCACGCAGGCGGGGCGAAAGCTTCGGTTGATGCGCTTGGCGTGGTGGTTCTAGCTCGGCTAGCTGACGATCGTGCTCGGTCACGAGAGTCAACATGGTGCGAATCTTTGTGATTCTATCCATGCCCCCCCCCCCCCCCTAGTACACTTGGCACAGCACCAAGACCCGTACAAAAACAGAACACCGAGAACCCTGAAGCTTTCGCGATTATCATTGTCGCAGATCTGGAGTTCTGGAGACTCAAAGCCTTGCACCAAGACCTTGAATTGCACACCCAAGGGTACACCACCCTCTTTGGTGCCACCGGGTGCAATGGTTGGCGTCCCAGTGTATGCACCAGTATTCAGGGCTTAGGGCCTTTTAGGGTTTACCGTTGCCGCAAAAAGGGGCTCGATTAACTCCAGTTTGTGGGGTTGTAGAGGCTCTGTTCCGTACAACAGGCGGGAAAAGGCAGCAAGAAGGGAATAAAGCTTGGACAAGGAAGCAGGCATGGAACAAAGGAACGCAGCAGGAAACTATCAAGCACGCACGGCTTACGAGCGACGTGGCGTATTGGTTGTTTCTTGTGCTTCGGTCTCTGTGTGTGTGTGTGTGCGTATAGTAGTTAAGACCTTAACTCAAAGTTGTCGTAGAAGCACATATACGGTGGATTCATAGTCGTAATGGTTTTTTTCATCAGAGTGTTGGAGTTTTCCTGAACCTCCAGCCTCACTTGTCGTTGTCTTTGTTGATGTTTTTCCCCACCCTCGGGGTGGTCGGTGTCGGGTTGTTAGATTTTAAACTCAACCCTTCTCCTCGCCCGGAACTCTTCTCTTCGCCGGGAACTCCCGGAGTACCCAACCCCAGAGTGTCCCTGGGTGCCCAACCCCAGAGTATCTCTACCAAGAGGGGATGTTCGAAGAAGAATAATTTTTGCTGCTGGTTGTCCTGAAGGTGATTACGCTTTTCAAAAAAACAAGAAAAGGGCTTTGCATCGTGGATCTTGGGTTCAGCAAAAACGCAAGAGCTATACTCCGCAAAGGCCTGGGCTCTTCAGCAACAATTCTCACAACTGTCTTCTCCTCATCCGATGGGCTAACGCCGTGCTGCGAAAATGCTCTCTCAACTTTACGCCCTAAAGCCTCCCCGGCCTCACCCAACTCAAACCAAACTCGGAAGCACACGAGGGTTCCTGGGCACACGGTACTGCCGCAAGTGGCTGGAGCAGTTCGATCGTCGGGCGCCCTAGTGGCCTTCTGGGAAGGTGTTGAGGTTAGTGCCGACTTTTCTGCTTTTTGCATGAAGTTCCTCCGGGAAAGCATGCCTGCGAGTTTTACAAGGTTTTCGGCTGAGGAAAGGCTCGGAGTTGGAGTATTCAATAGGCTGGAGACACATTCGCTGTCCGAATGAGTGACCTACGTTTAGCTACTATTGGAAGGGTTTTGGAGGGTGAGGGTTGGGGACTCCTTTGGGTGCACTTCATGCGCAGGAGTCGTCCCGAGCCTCGAGATCGACCCGAACTGCCACTCGCAACACGCAGCTGGGACACGTCAGACATCATCAGGTTGGGTTTTGTTGAGGGGTTGTGGGAGCCGAGGAGCTCCAGGGTACCGGACCAGAGGTTGAGGCTCGCGCTGGGTGCCATGCGGCATCTTTCGTGGGGCTGTTGCGATGGCTTGCCTCGAATATGTCGGTGGGTGTTCTAGAGAGTGTTGTCCCCCTAGGCTGGATTGGCATCAGGGACTGCCAAGGTGACAAAGCTTTGAGAAAGAATTTGAGACAACAAGCCACGCTACTCACAATGTGCCTGCGGAAGAGCTTGTCTTTCGCTAAGGAGTTGCGGGCACTTATGTTCGACAGGCGGGCACCCTAGATCCCTTTCAAACGCCAGTTTTCGGAGGGCGGTTCTTTGTTTCTTTCGACTTCTTTCGGCTGAGGTGCATGTAGAGCAGAGCTGCTTTATTCTCTCCGCTGCAGTATCTGCAGTTAGTTGCAGCATGGGTTGAATCATGTTGCCAGGTGGTCAAATTGGCAACCACCTTCTCACCACCCCACGAGAATTGCCTACTTGCATTGCTATCAACGGGGCTGTCGCCCCCACAACCGGCTACGCCCCAGCACTTTTATTTGTTTGAATTTTCTGGGGAGCGCAGCAACAAAATGAAGAGCAGCAGCAGCAACAAGAGCTACAAGAGCAACAAGAACACAACACGAACAACAAGAACGACAAGAATGACAACAACGACAACAAGAGCGACAAGAACGACCAGAACGACAAGGACGACAAGAACGACAAGAACGACAAACAGCAGCAGCAGCAGCGGCGGCGGCGGTGGCGGCGGCCAAAGCAGCACAAGCACAAGCACAAGGCGCTTTGAGCCCCCCGGAACAGGACGATTTCTGACAGAGCGGGTTCTTGCGCAAGCGACGGCAGGCTTGCAGAGGCCTGCGCGAGGATTCAGATAATCAGAGGATGCTGTTCGTTGTCAGCATCCACGGATCCGCGTGATCCCTGGAGCTGGGCGAGAGCACTCTCAGGAGTGGGGGCTTCCTGCTGGTCCTCCTCCCTGGCTAGCTTCTCCTGGAGCATCTGCTCCAACGCGGAGATGCATTCCTGGATCGACCTTGCAGTGGGAAGCTGACGTAGCCATGTGAGATCAGACGCCGCAGACGGCGCGACAGCCATTGCCGAACCTGCACCGTTGCCGAGCCACAGGTCGCCTAGAGTGTAGAGGGCCTCCTCAGAGAGCAAAGGGGGGCCTGCTATATCCACCCAACTTCGTCAGATGTGATCATCGAAAGGCAGCAGCTGCAACTGAAACTTCTCCTGCAAAATCGCCATGGAATCCGTGCCCCCATTCGCGTGTGCCGATAGGTCGTGGAGATCTGAAGGAGGCAATCTGAAGGAGGCAATCTGCAATAGGGAAAGAAACCCGAGCAAGAAACCACGACAGCTCCACAGAACAATGCCGCTCTCGTCGAGATAGGCTAACGTTGCCAAAGTGCCTGAGTTAGCACAGCAACTCACAAGCAATCAGACCACATTCCGCAGCACCACCTTACATTCCCCCCACAAGGAAGCAACCTCACCCGAGAGTAGCGCCCATTATCGTGATTTGAAACCCGATTCAGAGGAGAGGAGAGGGGAGGCTTCCCATGCGCTCGACCACGGCGATGGCCGGGTCGGCGGTTTTCCCCAAAACATGACGGCAGCACACAGCAGCAAACTCCCACAATTGATCAGCAACAGAGTTCCTGTGCCGCCAGGGACGGAAAGCGCGGCTGCATAGGGAAGAAAAGGCCGTCGAAGCACTTGCTGGACTACTTCCTCCGCTTCCAGGCGCCGAGAGGATGGCACCCTTAGTTTCTTCTTAAGGCGCCATGGGCAGATCCTCAGCCGCAAACCCTTAAGGCCTGAAAGCTCTGTCCTGCAGCTTTACAGCTCATCTGCTTCCTCAAGCCTTCAAGCCTCTCGATTCTCAGATAGTAGCTTGAAAACTACCAACAAAGCTCGGGGTCAAGGGTGGCGTTGGGGCTTCGCAGGGCTTCAGGTTTTTGCCCTTCTGGATGGAGCAGCCCGAGCCGTAAGTTTCCTAAGCCTACACGCTGCGCTCCACTCGACTTCCGCTGCCGAACACGTAACACCCTAAACCCTAAACCTTAAACCCTAAACCCTAAACCCTAAACCCTAAACCCTAAACCCTAAACCCTAAACCCTAAACCCTACACCCTAAACCCTAAACCCTAAAACCCTAAGCCCTCATCCCTACACCCCCACCACAGACCCTGAACTGGGCAGCCAGGAGATCCATACGGACAGACCCATCTTCGCCTACTTGCATCTCGAGGCTCCAAGTGGGGGGCATCTTCTTTGGGGTTTTTGCGGTTTTGGCGGTGTTATGCTTGTTGGGATCAGTACGTGGAAACTGTCGCGCTGAGCACATGGGCCATGTTAGGGACTCACGATGTTCGTGCCGCTTGATTTATCATGACGAGGAGCCTCAACTTCGAGGAACCTTTGCATGGGGAGACAATAGCACCTCTTTTTTTGTGGGAAAAGAAGCAGAGACCTCAGTTGGGAGCTGAAGGCGCCGGCTCGCAAAGGGCTGCAGTGCCGAGAAGCCAGCATATGCGAGGATTTCGGCGGCCTCTGTCAGACCATGAACCCTACGCCCTACAAGCAGCCTACAACTTACACTGTAAGTACCAACACCTGCAAGGCGTCCCACGAATCTCAGCATGCGCTGCAGTTGATCGCGAGGTGCTTGGTGACTTGTGCGCTGGTGCAGGGCTGGAAGTTTAGGGCTTGGGAGGGTGGGGGGGAGCGGGGGGGGACATTGTTACTCGTGAGTGGCTTCGTGTGGGCACAGTACTTCTGCGCTGAACTTTTCTCTGGTGATGGACTGGTGGGCAGGGGCGGTATGTTAATGACAGGGCCGCAATATGGGGTCATTGGGCCGGATACACCAAGCATCTCAGCCCCATGCTGCGGGCATGCTGCTTGCGGGAATGCTCCACCCAGAATTTGCTGTCCTAGTTGGGCAAGTTGAGTGGAGGGTGGTTGGGGTGGGGCCCGCCTGCTACAGGAGCATGCTGCCCGCAAATCCTAGTTAGGCGACAAAACAGACAGAAGGAGAAGTCAAGCACCAAAGAAGAATCGGCATCACACCGTATCGCAGCCCTGCTAAGGATGAGGCGCTTGCGGAGCATCTGCAGGGCCTTAGCAGGCGGCTTCCCGGAGTTCGGAGGTTGCCTTTTTGCAGGTTCCAGGCTTGAGTCCAGCGATGCAAAGAAGCAAACAATCGCCATGAATCCCTCAGCCTAAGCCTTCGAGACCTGAAGGTGACACACATTGTGTGAATGCAGTCACTACGCCAGGGACCGCCACAGTCCGATCTTCAGAAACCATCCAAAGGCAGCAAGTGTTCTTATTTACCTCGTGCAGGCTTCCGCCAGAAGCACGGCCCATTGTGGCGGTCCTGACGTGTTCTGCTTGGGCTTGAGTTTTCGGGTACGGGAATTTCAAGCAACAGCTTGACTACCACTGCCACCACGGCCTCTACCACTACCACTACTACCGCGACAGATTCCTTCGTGGTGGTGGGGGCTTCTTTTTTTGGTTTTGGGGTTCACAAGATTCAACAGTATGGCCAGGTCCTTGCCGGGGACCATGGGCCTCCCAACGAGTGCGATGAGCCAGGGCCCTTCAAGTCTTGAAGACGCTGCCAAGTGGCCCTCAGGGTCCTTCCGGACAATGAGACTGACTGGGTTGGTGGGATCTCAGGAATGTTCACAGTAGGACTTTGGGAGAGTGTTCGGTGGTTCTTGGGGTGGGCCTTGGATCCTTCAGACTCCGCAAGAACCGCACGCCCTAAGCCCCTCAAGCCCCAAGCCCAAGAAATTCCGTAGACCCAAGGTCCTGGACTGCAAACCCCTGAGCTGCTAACCAAAACAAAGTCCGAAATCATGACATCACTCTCTTTGAAGCTTTTGAGGAAGGCTTTAAAGCCTTCAGCCCGAAAGTAGGATTTAGCTGCCCTGGGCGAGCATGGGGCCAAGGAAATCTCCTCTGGACTGCGCCTGAGCACTGGGGTTCCTTGCTTCCCCTTTCGGGGAGGAAAGTGGAGCCTCTGCGGAGCGCTTCAAGTTTTGAGCTTCCACAGCCCCCTACTGTAGCCGAAGCTCAGGGCTCAGGGTCGTGGGTGAAGGCTTGAGGGTTCAAGTGGTGCTTTCGCAGGGATTTCCAGAACTGAGCCGCTGCCAGAACTGAGCCGCTGAAAAGAGTTTCTTTATGGCATCACCATGGTATCACCAGGAAGTATCCCTGAACCTTGTTCATCCTGGTGAACCGAGAGGGGAGGATGCAGACATGCTTGAGAGAGGCCTGCCACCCGTCGGCATTCCGAGAACCCCACCCCCCTCCGACAGCCCTGCACCTGGCTTTTCAACCCCATAGCGATGCCCAGGTCTCTCTGTTGATCCCAGAGGCCCGCCTCCCGGACAAGGGCTGCACAGGTGGGAGCGGCAAGTCTGTTGCGCTTGAGGTGAAACTAGAACGGTTTGTACGTTCAATGAATGCCCATTCAAGGTCTTTCCCGTGCAAAGCCCATCAAAGCCCATAAGCACCAACAGTCCCAAGCGTGGGGGGTGGTTGTACTACGTTTGTGTTTTCCATGCTTGTTCCACCTCGTGTACCATCTGGACAGAAGCCTTGGCCGAGCCAGCTGCAGCTGGCCGCAGTGCTACGTAATCTTTGAAGATATGTGTACAGCGCAGCCATCGCCATACTTAAGACTTGAGGTGCCTTGAAGTTCTTCAGAGCATGCAGCCCTGATGTAGGATGTGGCTCGGGGACCCGTGCGACAACCGCGAGTAAAGTGCTTAAACCGAAGCCCACCACCGTCAAACCCATCTCTGAGGCCACTCGGCTCCCCAAGTCCACAAGATCCCAAGTCCACAGGAGAGCCATCAAAGGTTCTCAAGAGCACCCTCTCGAAGCCCAACGCCTGAAAAGGTGGCGTCGGGACCTGTGGGCAGACGCAGATCCCAAGCAACATCACAGGGACCCCGCGTTTCGCTGGGCTTAGAGTATCGCAAAGGCTGCATGGGGGGGGGGGTTCATTTGGGTTTGTGATTCTGGGCTTCGGTTTAAGGGCGCTCGAGCCCTCAGCTTGTCTGGAACCCGCAGTGTCGCACTGCACCCGCTAGGCCCACGGTCAACAGGCCCCCGTTCCTCACCACCGCTAAGCACCTTCGTCGTTTCCCAGGACCCTACGGAAAACGATGCAGGAGCGAGGGAGCGCGCAACGTCAGAGGGAGTCCGAGGGAGCGCCTGGATAAAGTCTCAAGGGTTTTGGCTCACCGGGCGAACAAATGTAGGCAAGGGTCTGCATGGGATCTGCAAAAGTTCCAAAACCAAAACCTCACTCGGAACAGCTCCAGGGCAGCAAGGGGTGCTTTTCATACCTATGCACTCTTGCCGGGCGAAACGTGTTTTGACGCTTCTCGAGGAGAACGCTCGGCTGTGGAGGAGGTCCATCTGGAACCTGGCCAGGGCCTTGGGGCAGGGCGCCGCCCTCCCCTCCCCTTGTGAGCCATTTGAACAACCTTGCCATCACCCTCGAACCTTCAGACTCGCCTCTGTCAGGAGCACAACCGCTTTGTGATTTCATCCTGGTATGACATGCCCGGCGCCCAAGAACAAGTTGATATGAGTTGACCGAACAGGAATCGTATTTTGATATGTGGGGTCTTGGGTTCAGGTTTGCGCCCGAACCCCGGAGCTCCGGCCCTCCTTGAGGTACGCAACCCTGCGCCACCTCATGTCGGGGCAAGATCCAGGAGGCCTCAGCCTCTGCCGCATCTGGGGATGAGGGGGTCACAGTCTGGGGATGAGGGGGTCACAGTCTACATTCCGAGTTCCCAGTCCCTGCTGAGTTCCTGACAGCCAGGTGCTGCGCAGAACGAGCGGCAGTGGGTGGGGGGCCACAATGGGTGTTAGACTTAGGGGATAAGAGCCGCTGTTTTTCAAGTTCGGATTCTGCGGTTCGGGGTTTTGGAGTTGTGGTGTTTAAGCGGTTGGCGTTTTTGAGGGATCTTGGGGGTCAGCGCATGTCAGCGCCTCGAGGTCGCAAGGCTTGTGGAACATTGCAGAGGCTTGAGGGTTCTGACGCCCCAGAACTCAGAGGTCCCAGAAAGCCCTCCAAGCCCTTGCGAGTGCTTCAGGATGCACCGGACCACCGGGCCCAGTCCCTCCTGACCAAGCTCCCTCGTCAAAGGCGCCTTGTTCTTGGGGGGATTCGGGCTTTCAAGATATCAGAGCAGGGGTTCGAGAGGGTTTTGGAACTGTCAATCGCAGTCTACGTGGCACTTAAGGGGTATTCTTCACAACGTCAGGTGTTGGGTGAGGAAAACAAGCAAACGCCCTAAACCCTGTGGTGCTGACACAGGACCTGCACCCAAGCGGGCGTCCCGGAGTGGCACTGTGGCTGTGCCCGGACCTGGGTAGGCCCAGATGATGCGGGGGGCTCTCACAGATTTTGGGCACGAAGGGTTCAGGGGCAGGGCAAATACAAGGAAAGCTTTAAATTTGAAGCAAGGCGTCACAGGCAGCCAGCACATCTGGGACCTGACTCAGCCTGTGTCTCAGTTGCAGGCTACTGCCCGCTGGCCCAGCGCGGGCAGTGGGCCGTCGCTGAAAGAGCACTCAACGAGGCTTTTCAGGGTTGCGGTTTTTGTTGACTGATATCTGCATATGAGCAGCCCAACATGGGTCCGGTGGTAGAAGCTGCTGGGTCGAAGGATTTATGGACAAGGCTTCTACCAAATCTCCAAGGTTTTTGATATCGGGCCATTTTGTCGCCAGTCACAAGACACCCAACAGCATTACTTTAATTCTCCGAGCCTCGCGAGATCGTTTGTTTAAATAGTACATGGAGATAGCAAATGAGCGAAACGTCGTGAATGCGTGACACCAGAAGATAAGAAGATAATGAGGTAATTTCAAGATGCGACCATGGGATAAGAAGTTGTCTACAGGATATTGACCAACTATCCAAAATGTAAAACGGCGAAAGAGACCAAAAGCACAGATGAAACCCCATCAAATCTACTGGAGGCTTTTTACTGGGCCTAGCTCCAGAAGCATGTGCAAAGCACTTGCAAGGCTTGCCCCTGCTTTTCATGGCGGCCCCCGGGAGGTGAACCAGCTGGTCGCCACGGCTGGCTCCAAGTTCCGCGTGGACGCGAGCGTGTGCCAGCACATTGGGCTCCTTGACCATGCTTTGGTCTTGCAGGGCGAAGCGATGGATGTCTCCTGCCTCGGAATCGGTTATTTGGTACTTTGTGAGGGCTCGGGTTCTCCTTGAATCAAATTTTTTTGGCAGACAACCCCGCTCATGGCCTCATGCCTTGAGCCGTGAACACCGGACGACCTTAAACAGCCGCCAAGCAAGAAGCAAGGTTGGAGGAAGTGCTTTCGTGCGAGATGCACCTTCCCAGCTACCAACGGATTCAGCTCCTCGGCTCCATTGGGGGTGGGGTCGAGTCGAGTCTTGAAAGCTTCATTCATGGAGGTTTATGAGAGTGCAGCTTCTCACTGTGGGCATAAACCCGAAGCCCCGGAGCTCGGAGCCGAAAACACCTGGGCCCGAAAAGCTTGCTTGCGCCCAGGGAAAACCTTCAAGGAGCCGGCAACCAGGAAAGGACCATCCTCCGCATTCGCACCTCGGCCGACTCGAGCTGGGGTTCGGAACAGGCCTTCAGCTTGTCGAAGGCTGCTCAAGTCTTCAGGAGATTGGGCGGGTCATAGGTTCCCACAATAAGTTCATCGGTTGCGCTGAGGGTTCAAAGAATTCACCGATGTTGGTAGGGCTCTCCGAGTTCGAAACCGCCAATCTGCATGTTGAGGAATGCTGACGACGGTCGGCATGGAGTTTGAGCGGGAGCCTCATCCATGGTGCTTGGCCCGACCTTCCAGACCCCTCGGCCACTGTCGACTTAGAACCTTAGAGCCCCTTTGTTTAGGGTTTAGGGTGTGGGGCTTCGGGTTTAGGGTTTCGGGTTTAAGCTTAGGGTTTCGGGTTTCGGGTTTCGGGTTTCGGGTTTCGGGTTTAGGAACCTTAGATTTATTGGATGCTGGCGTTGCGTGGCCCTCCGAGGTTCTGCGCCTACATGCGCTTCAAGTCCTTGTCTGGCCATCTTCAGGTCTGGCTGCCACTTGCGGATTCTGACAGTCGTCATGTCGTAGGATACACAATGCAAGTCCAGTCATGTCGTAGGATACACAATGCAAGTCCACAGATTCTGAGTCCAGGTGACCCTGCAAGTTTGCATTTCCAGCATCCGGTGCGACTGTCGGAGGACGTTGAAGGCTATGTGGACGAGCTCTTGCAGCTCTTCCCAAGGCCTGGAAGGGGTTCTCATGCCTCTTATGCCTCTTGATAGAGATCCACCTCGCCCGGCCTTGTGGTGGAAGTAGCCCGATTTCAGCTTCTTGGATAAGAAGCGACAGTTTCTTCGAACTTGTGCATGCTTTTCATTCGGTCTCACTTCTCGTACATCTGTCGTGCTGACGTTAATATGGTTACAAATGCACGCGGTGACTGCGTGAAGTGTGTTAATACTACCAGGAAAAGACCAAGAAACGGCTGTGTCATGAAAAGCACCCGCATGATCTTGCAGCTTATTGAAAGGCCTCGCAAAGGTTGATATCGTTTAAGGCCGCTTCCACAAGACCACGAAGCATTCAAAGGCGAAAGAGCCTTGCGCCGTGCTGTCTGTGCTGTTGAAGCTGCTAAGCCCAGCACACCAGAAGTACCCAAACTGCGTGCCCGGCAGGTCTCGCTACCGGCCCAATGAGAAGTGCACCTCGGCAAAGTGTGAGAACTTTTTTGCAGGCTGGCCCTCTGGTAGTCGTAGGTAGCTGCAGGGTGAAAACCAAAGAGAAGCATCGATACCCCGAAGCGTGTCTGTTGATCAGGCCTGCTTTGACTGGCCAAGCTTTTGAAGCAGTGGAGGAAGGCTTCTTCTAGGAGTATTCCTCGACCAAGGAGGTAAGTCACGGCCGAAAAGGCCCCCGTTTTCTTATTTTCCGAAGAGGCTCGATTGTTGTCATGCAGAAGAGAGGCGTGAAATCGATTTAAACCCCGCTCTTGGTTGGCGGGACTTAAAATTCAGGATGCTGAAGCAGCGTGTTAACATCGATGTTAAGTCGCATTAATGTTGCCTCTGCAACGGAGGGCGGCTTGAAACATTTTCCAAGCAGCCGCATGCAAGGGATTGGCTTGAGGAAGCTTGAAGTCGGCTTTTAGGGTTTAGGGATGTTTAGGGCTTAGGGTTTAGGGTTTAGGGTTTAGGGCTTAGAGTTCAGGGTTTAGGGTTTAGGGTGCAGGGTTGTTGCACAGGCAAAAAGAGAGTTCCAAGTTGATATCAACCCAGGACAGAGCTTGGCAAAGACAAGCAGCTGAAAATGGCTTGTAATCCGAAGTTGACATCGGATTCCAGCCGTTCTTTATTGGTGATGCGGGAGGGTGCCCACGGGTCACTGCCAGTACATTGGGGCGTATCGTGCTTTCCGATGTTTGGTGCTAGCTATGTATGCACTACGAACCTCTCAGTCCCCCTCCCTGGTTCAGCCTAAACCCGCTCAGAAAAGACTCACACTCAGAACAGGCCATACGCTGTCATGCACGCTGCGTGCCTTAGCTCAACTCTGCCAAACGGCACAAATCAAGTGTCCGGTCTTTCTGTAACAAAGTAACCATGAATACTTAGCTGCTCCGGCTTTGTGAGTGTTGTCCCAGGTACACCCCAAAACCTTGACCCCGCGTTCTGCGCGTGCGGGGACCAGGCTACGGGGCTCGGGGCTGAAGCCTCGAGCCCCTTTTTGTCGGGTTCAAATTGGGTTCAGGGGTTTCAGGAAATTTTCTGGGTTATGCTTTGGGGTGGGAACGGCCAACGGTTGACTTACAGGCTGTGGCTCTTGGCTTTGTTGCTTCAAGAGCAAAGCAAACGCTTCGGGCTGCACATCGGGGGCTTCTGCTGCTCGCAGCGTCTTCTCGGCCTTTCGAGTCGGGGAGAGACTTGGGCAGGCGGAGCTGCGCAAGCGGCCTGCCATTGATGAGGCCAGGGTGCTGGGACTGGATAGCCTGACTTGCTCGCCGGGCATAATTCTTTAAGTAGTTAGAAGAAGCATAGCTTGAATCTCGCGGAGTACAGGTAACCTAGGCTAGGTGCAGCTGAGCACCATTCTCTCTTGTCTGAAGCCAAAGGGGTACAACAAACCCTAGCAATTCCCCGCCTCAGGGCAATTCCCCGCCTCAGGGGTACAGGGCATACCGACGCCTCGCAATCCTCGATCCTAGTTTTTGTCCCCGATGCTTCAGCGGCTTGGAGTTTAGGAGTCCTGAATGTCTTGAACCCCTTCCAGGACCTGCCGACAAGTCCAACATGATGTCTGTCATCAAAGGGCTCAATGTTCCTTGCCGTTTGCTTCGTGATCCCTCGCACGCGGCCGCGCCTTTGCAGAAGCTGATGGGTTGTGCAAGGGCCTCCGTCGTTGGCACTTGAGGTACCCTGTCATCTTCCGGGTTTCAGAGAGGTTCAGAGCGTAGGTACCCTACCCGATGGTTTCTTTCTTTGGCGGTTAGCACTCTGTAGGCCGTTCTAAGCACAGTTTGGACTGAGTACTGAGGTCTCCATCCCGCACCCTCAAGAACACGCACTGCCCGGAGAACTTCCAGTGGACAACAGCTTCTCAGTGTTTGGGCCGGTCCGATGGAGAACCAGCAAACTAGCAAGCCGGCAGCTACCAGCAGAGCAGGGTTCGCTTGACCCTCTGGCGCCTTCTGGCTGCTGCTGCTCAGCAGCCAAGGGGACCTGGAGGACCAGGGACTCAGAGGCGAGGGCTTGGGGCTTGAAGCGGTGGCTCGGGGAGTTGCGGCGTGGCAGAGAGCCGCCTGTGTCTTGTCCCTTGGATCCTTTCTGGTGTGGAGTGCCGGCACGAAGTTTGCTCGCTTGATCCGAGCTGCCTGAGCTGCAAGTGTCGCCGTGGCGCCAGAGCTCGCAAAAGTACGGCTGGCTGAAGGATATTGCAGGAGGTTGTTCTTGTGGCGCTGTTGAACCTGGAGCCCAAATGTTGCGAAATGGCACGCCTTTGGCGTTTCAAGCCTGCATCTCTTAAATCCCGTCGCAAAAATATCTGCTTTTGGTGCTTGCATGGTTTCGGAATGTGTGGCTTCAGGGCCCAGATTCCAGAGGCATAGTTGCTCATAGCTTCAAGGCACCCACTTCAAGACGCAGGGATTCGGCAGAAGTGCAGACAGGAAGGCTTCAGAAGTTCTCTGGTGCACGTGCCTTAAGTCCGTGAATCCCCCGCATCTCCCTGAAACACGCCCTCATCAGCTCACCCCCCCCCCGACCCCGAAGACCGCCCCGTTAGCACACATGCGCCAGCGAGCCTTTGCAGCTATTTGCAGCTTTCGCAGCTTTGGCTCTTAAAATCCTCCCAGCCCCCAGAAGCCCCAAAGTCCAAAATACCTTGAAAGCCACGAAGCCAGAAGCTTGGAATCCGAGAGTGCTTGCGCCCTACACCACAGATATCTTACTCTCGGCACCCCCCCTAACCCTGAGCTACAAAGTCCCAAACCTCCCCCCAAGCTTCATGAAGCTTCCCTAAAGTCCCCTAAGCTTCACGAACACCATCCTCCGCTTTGAGCCTGGAGAGCCTGTCCGGCACATTGCTCGGAGGGATGGGTCGCAAGGCGCTGACACCTGGGAGCACTGTTAGGGAATCGTATAGGGGAGAAGGTTGATTGAAGGTGTGCAGGGCGTTGTTTGGGGAAAGCCCCACTTGTGCGACTTGGGGGCTGTAAGGTAGGGTTGCGCCTTGGCGAAACAGCCCCAGACACCTGGCTGACCTGGCTTCAGGGCAAGGCCGTCCCTGCCAGCAGCGCCAAAGCCCTGGAGGCCAAGCTGTGGAGAGGGCCTTCGATGTTTGTCTTGATGTTCTTTGATGCTTTTTTCATGTTTCGGAGCTGTCAGACACTGGCAAAGGGTCTGGGCCATTCGAGATGTCTAGTTTGTATGCTCAGACACGTTGTGAGCAGATCTGCGGCGATACCTCCAAGCTGGGGGTGTCTCCAGCCGACGTTTTCGCCCAGTTTGGGAAGCTTCTTGGCAGGAGGGGGATAGGACATTTGGCCCCCCGGAACAGCCAAACTAGGCCAAACCCTTGCCATGAGTTTGTGAGGATTGGGGGGGGGCTCGTCAACAACATGTGCCTTGGGTCCCTAGCAGTTCCCGCGATGTTCCGCCATTTCGGGGGGGATGATTCGAGCAGTGGCGTTTCAAGCGGGGGGTTGGGTCAGAGTTGTTTTTGGCTTTTCCCTGTGGTCACTTGCGCCATCTTTCTGGTAGAAGAGCCGAAGGTTTGCTTTGGCTTGTGTGTTCTGACCAGCCCAGGCCTGTCTCCAAGGCGAAAGCTGCAGATGAAGCGCAGACGGCTTCCCTGGAGGATGTGGAGGTCCCGCTTTGTGGAGTCAGGCGTCAGGTGCATCAGAGTTTTAGGGCTTCCGAAGTCGAGGTTTGGGTTGGGGGGGGGGCAACGGGCCCAAGAGCCTGCCTCAAATGTGAACTCTACAACGCGATTGCTGTTTTCTGTAGGGCTTTTGGAGGTTTTGGGTGTTAGTCTGGGCATCACCTGAGCTGCGCAGAGGTGTCCTTGGCTTTGCAAGCCTTGCAGAAGAAGGACGTCCTTGACGGAACCCGAAGCCTAAGCCGTAGAAAGTGAGACTCATGTTTGGGCTTCGGGGCAGTGAGGAGTTGAGCTTTGCGTCTGGAGTCTGGAGTTTCGAGCTTCGTGGCCCCGGGCTTACGGGGGTCAAGCCTCCCACAGTCGCCAAACTCACTAACCTTAGCTATGCCTCCAAGCATATCTGCTCTCCAGATCTGTAAACCCCAAACCCTAAACCCTAAACCCTAAACACTAAGCACCCTAAACCCTAAACCCTAATCCCTGAAGTTTTTCTGGAGCCCCGGTGAGGACCCCACGACGCGGCTCCGAGCCGTCGCAGAGCTGCGAGAGCTGCTGCTGCGGCCGGAAGCCGGGCCGCCGCCCGGTGGCATGAGGGAAAGAAAGCGTCAAAAGGGCCGTTTTTAGGTTCAGAGCTTTCAATCGTTTTGAGGCTTTTTGTCTCTGTTTTTCTGGATCCTGGATGGCTATTTTGGGGTCTGCTCAAGTCTGGCCCTCAAGCGGTCCCGTCCGGTCGTCTGCGGCGATGCGATCACTGATGATCCAGCAGCCAAGTTAGAAGCAAGAACATTCCAGAAAATCGCTGACGTCTGTATTGCGGCACAGCACCTGGCTGTGCCTTTTCTTTGGACCCAGGAAGTTGAAGCCCCCCCCCTTCTCTCCACACCCCCGAAAACTCACGACCCCAAATCCTTCATCGAAGTCTTCCGACAAACAGAGCCGAACATCCAAGATCCCAGCCGCCCGCGCCCAAGCTTGGACCCACACATCTTCCCACTTCGCACTGCCGAGGCTTGGTGAGGTGTGCGCCGGAGCCTCTGAGATGTCTGGGATACTTTGCATTTCCGGCACTCTTAGCTGTTCGCGCCCTTTAAAGGGTTGCGCCCCTCGCTTTCCGGACCCATAGCTTCCCAAGCCGTTAACGAAGACCCAAAAGGCCCTCCCGGCAACGCTCCATGGCCCTTACAAGCCTTCAGCCTTGGTGACAAATGCCACTTCCTTCAGTTGTCTTTGAAATTTTTTTGCCAAGGAAGCTGAGCCCCAAAACTACACCTTCCCCCCCCGTCCACAGGCCCCGTTTTTGCACATCTACCGCCGGCTGTGGCCACAGGAGATAGTGGGCTTCTACCGAACTTCTCAAGTTGCGTTATGCTGTTTTCCCTGGGCTCAAATGATCACAAAACCAACCTCACGTCCCGAACCCTCACAACCCCCTCTGCTGTGCCACGTTTGGGGTTGCTGGCTCTAAGTGATTTGGAGCTGCACAACGGTTCTTTTTTCGAAGCCTCAGATGTAAAAACTTAGGGTTGAAGGTTTGCGGCTTGGCGTTCGGGGCTCGGGTTTCCGGTTTAGGGCCTCATCTCTGCCACGTGCGACTGCAGGACAATGAGCCGCGGGTGCGAGAGGGCATGCAGAGGCTGAGAGCCAGTCACGCTGTCGCATGATTCTTCTGCTTCAGGTAACCTGAGTGCAAAATTTGGTGCGGGCCGCACGCCCGCACGGCTTTGAGCCACAAACACAACTTCGACATTCTTGCGGGCTGCTGACCCGCACCGCTTTTGACCACCAAGCCAACCATAAAATTGGTGCGGGCCGCACGCCCGCACAGCTTTCAACCCCAAACACAACTTCGAAATTCGTGCGGGCTGCTGACCCGCACCTCTTTTCACCACCAAGCCAACCATAAAATTGGTGCGGGCCACACGCCCGCACAGCTTTCAACCCCAAACACAACTTCGAAATTCGTGCGGGCTGCTGACCCGCACCGCTTTTCACCACCGAGCCAACCATAAAATTGGTGCGGGCCGCCCCCAAACACAACATCGAAATTCGTGCGGGCTGCTGACCCGCACCGCTTTTGACCACCAAGCCAACCATAAAATTGGTGCGGGCCACCCGCCTACACAGCTTTCAACCCCAAACGCAACTTCGAAATTCGTGCGGGCTGCTGACCCGCACCTCTTTTCACCGCCAAGCCAACCATAAAATTGGTGCGGGCCGCACGCCCGCACAGCTTTCAACCCCAAACACAACTTCGAAATTCGTGCGGGCTGCTGACACACACCGCTTAAGCTGCTAGCGCCAGGCCAACCTCAAATGTGGTGCGGGCCACTCGCCCGCGCAGCTTTCAACCCCGAGCTACATTCAAGTCAACACTCAAGTTGGTGCGGCCCGTTCGCCCGCATGGCTTGCACTCCAGATTTCGCCCAGGTTTTTTTTTAGAGATTCCGAGAGGTGTTTGCAAGTGCTGGTGGAGAACCTTCAGCGCGACTTTGCCAAGCACCTCCGAGGGGTGCTGGGCTGAGATCTTTGGACATTCATGCGCTTTCTCTTCAGTGCCGCAGAATGCTCCAGAAATCCTCACGACTCTTTGGTGAAGACGTTGGGGTGTTGGAGAGCTTCTTTTCGTTTGGAGTTGTTGGGCCTTGCACCTTGGAGTCTTTCTGAGACTTTTGGGGGTTTGTGGCGCAGAACTCGGAAGCATCAGAAACACCGGGACTCCTTAAACCTGAAGCTGCAGACCCTCAAAAGTGTGGCCGTGGCATCAGGCTTTCCCCACATGGCTTTGTGCAGCTTGGGCCAGCATCAGCGGGTTGTGAATCCAACGGAAACCTTTGCCCTTGCTGTTAAGCAGCCCTTCTGCAATCCACGTGTAGCTCGGTTTTCGTCTTCGGCACATCTGCCGCACGAATTGCAGTCTTCGATTGTTTCCGATTTCAGTTGCATAGCTTCTATAGCCTTGTGCGAGAGCCATGTGCCGTCCATGAAGCACTCCGTTGAACCCGACCCCCTCTAGAACTCCAAAGAGCCGCCAGTGAGACATTCTGAGGCGATGTTTGCCCGGGGCTCGGCAGAGGGGGGAGTTTGACAGTGCCTTCGAAGTGTCCGATGTCCGAGGTCCTGGATAGCAATAGTGACAGAGGTGACAGTGGTGTAAGATAACCGACAGCCCTTCGACCCATGCTGTTCACCCGCCCCAAGCACCGAATCCGCCGCAAGTTCGGGCTGTCAGGATTCCCATTCGGACGCTGATGCCTCAGATTGGTGGAGTAATCATGTGCGGGAAGCTGCTGGCAAAACAAGGAAGGCATGGGCACTAGACGCTCTTTTGTGTTCAAAGTGGTCCGAAGTTCTGAAACACATGCCCAGGGAGGCACCATGTAGTCAGGAAAAGTTGCCAAGGACTTCGCTCAAAGCTTGAAAAAAAAATTCCAGGTCGCCCAGGCGGGTCGCGGGGCCTTCACAGCAGCATTCCCCAGCGACGAGAAGCGCCGCGGGGCCTGGGGCTTATAGGTCTGTGCCCATGCGAACTGGAAGCATCGCGCAAATTACTTCCGTGCGCGCGCATTCATTGCGTGGAGCATCCATGAGTTAGTCCATTTCCAGTTTCTAATCATGCACCAGCCCCTAGCACCCAAACCATAGCAACCTATACCCCACCATTGGAAGCACCGAGGACCCCGTAGGAAGATACCAAGATCCAGAAGAAAGTAAAACCAAATTTGAACAAAACAAACTGCATTATAAAATGAAACGACAACTACAAACAAGCTGGGGCGGAGTAGGCTAATGGAAGTTTATGCCTTAAACAACCATAATCTTATTTCGAACATGACATTTTGATTGATTACAACCTTCTCCTTGAACCTGCTTCCGATTATAGATACTTTGTTAGAGAATACCATTTCCATTTTCTGGGGTTAGGGATGTCGGGTTGGGTGTTATGGGTTTTCTGTGGGGGTGTTGGTCGATGGGTTTGAGTATATCATTTTTCTATCGGGTAGTGCATGGTTTCATAGTATGGGTTCTTCAGGTGGGTCTTGGCATGGGTCTTCTTGTGGGGTCTTTCGGTGGTTCCATGGGAGGGGTATAGTTTGTTATGGTTTGGGTTCTGGGGGGTGTTAGAAAATGGAACTGGTCACTACTAACGCCATGTGTGCCAGCTTGTCCGTTGCGTGGAGCAGTGGTTTATGCCGATAAAGAACTAACTCCTCTGCCACCGCAGATGCGTGAGTTGTTTCGCGAAGACTGGCTGCGACCGCTTGCGTTCGCAACAGCCAACGGCGCCAGCGCCTTTTTCAGAACTTTTTTCTAACCCGACGCACATCCTGCGAGTGCCAAACGTGCTGCTCCTGCCCACGTCCTTTTGTGCTACCGTACTTATACCCCGAAAGGCTGCGCCCCAGCCGTCTGCCAGGGCTTTTCAGCGATCTTCAGCGCCTGAAGAGTCAAGTTGGGCGCAAACCTTGCGAAGTTCAGAACTTCGAAACTGAATGCGGGGGAGCCAGACAACCCACAGACCCCACCCCTGCTTCTGAGCTTCTGAGCTTCGGACATAAGGTTTTCAGAGAGGGAGCGTTTTTTGGAGCTTGTCGCGATCAGAAGTTCTGAAGTCCAGGTCTTTCGGCACTGCCAGAAGGATTGCCTCGAGCTGCTGACCTCGAACCTCCGGCACAGTGAGCAGCACGCTGCTGAGCCTTGCGTGTAGACTTCCTGTCCTTTACTGCTGAGACAGGTTCTGGGTGAACACTAGGTCGAAGGCTGGGGTGCAGATTCCTGCTCTAGCTTAGGGTTCTTCATGTTCGCACTCTCGAAAACCGAGCAACCCTCAAACCCCAAGCAGATTAACCCCGAGCCCTTCGAGCCTTAGCGCCACAGGTCTCTCCACGACGAGTTGGGGCTTCCTGCCACCGGGGATAAAGACAATTCACTGCAGAGCCAACGGCCCAGAGTGTTTTTGTATGTTTTTGTGGGATTGGGAGGGTTTAGTTAAGGATTGGTTCACAACTCCTGACCTTGTTGCCGCCTCTGCCGCTGAGAAGAGAGCTTCAACAGCGCACCATGTCGATCGCACCTATAAGAGCTTCGAAGAGACCTCTTTTGCAAACGCCGCGCTTGTCAGAGCTGCGGCTTTGCTCCACCATCTCCTGTCTTTCCGGTAACTGCTGTTGTAAGGTTTTACAGAGTGTTTCAGAGACGGTTCGCCAGCCTACGTAGAGCATATCTAGCCTTTATGGCGGAGCTCCTCGGCGAGGAGGAGCTGCGACAGTACGAGCCTCGGTCTTTGAGAAGCATTTTTCTTCTCATGCTGGTGGGCATGTGGCCATCTGAGGCTTTGGGGTTTCATTCTATGGTTTTCTCAGCCCCTTGATCAGTAAGTAAGGCGCCCGGCTTAGAGACGGTTCACGGTTCCACGACTTCAGGAGGAGGACGGCTGCCTTTTCCCAGTGTCGGGCCTCTTCTCCACAAGCCGGCTCGCCGAGGCAGGGTTTTGGCAAGGGTGCAACGTTCAATTCAGGGCCCCCATCTCTGCAAGCGCCCCCAAGCCTTGCCACTTGCGTCAGTTCCCAACCCTAAAAGGCCCCCTAGGCCCTCAAGCTGCCAGGTCGATGCACTCTTGTCGACGCTGGTGGAGCAGCGGCCCCAAATTGATCGCGGCGATGCCTGCAACCTGGCGCCCGAGGATTTGCTGAACCTGCACCTGACTTGCCGGGAGGCGGGTGCAAGGTTTCGAAGGGGACTTAGAGAAGCCAGGCGAGTTGCCTCAGGGACAGCCCGGAACCTCAGCAGCTGTCCAACAACGAAAGCTCTGGATAGATCCCACCCCTGCAAACACGAACGACATCCCAATATGAAGCTCCCTCGACCCCGACCCCTGGTCAGGTTTGGGACCTATGCCGGGAGCCTTCCTGCCTGCGCGCAGCCTCTCAGCTCCTGGGCACCACCGACCTCAGTGTTTTCACCTCGCCCCTCTGCACGCATGCTTGTCGAGGGCTCGAGGCTGTCGCGGCGTAGGCGGCTTCGGCGGTTTGGGGTTTGGGTACCCGGGGCTTGGTTTGGTGCTGTACTTGGGCTTCGGGATTTGTCAGGGGTTGTGTGTGTGCTGTTGATCATGTGGTTCGAGTTCAGGTTGCCATATGGTTCAGCAAGGGTACTTTGCGTCTACGCATGTCTGTAACTGTAGCGGCCAAGGCGCGTTCTTTGCAAGGAGCCGCGCACCGGCAAGGAGATCGTCTGGCACCAAGACTCAAACTACTGGCCGCTGACGAGGCCCAGTGGGTTCAAGGGCGGACCAAGGCAGCAGTGAGGGTTTAGGGTTTAAAGTTTAGGGTTATAGGGTTATAGGGTTTAGGGTTGAGGGTTTAGTGATTTAGGGTTTGGGGTTCAGGGTCTACGGTTTAGGGTTTAAGGGAGTTCTTCTTTTTCCGATTGCTGGGTATGGCGATGATGTGTCGAAGGCCCGGCAATGACAAGCCTCGCTCGGAGCTCGGCCCAGAAGATGTGGATCCCCTGGTGAGCTCCTTGTGGCTGGCGGTGGACGACGTCACGGCGGAGAACGGGCCCATGGAGGTCGGAGTACTTCTGCGCCAACCCGAAGAAAGGGTCCACTGTGCATAGGTTCGGGGCGGTGTCTCTTTTAAGTCTTTGCCAGCAGCTGCGTCATACCGAAGCACGCCGCCAACTCGCATAACCTCGCAGGCCCCATAGGTCCTATCGGGTCCTGAGTGGCACTTATGCGGGAAGAAACATGCGCCAGAATTTGGCAACGTAACGTTGAGGGCTTGAAGGCTTAAGAAAGGCTTTAGGATGTAGGCATTCAGAGGTTGTAGGGTTTACCATGAGCCCCAAAACCCCCCAACCCAAATGGGGCAGGTCTTGCCCTTCTCGGCCCAGCCGGAAAGCCGCGGCCAGAATGTGCCCGCCTCCTTCATCCTCGATGCGGGAGGCTTCTGAGCCTCTTGAGATGTTTACGGAGTCTTGCGGGTGTGGGTTGATCACAATATGGCTACAAATGACTGCAATGTGATTCCGCCAGAGCCCTCCTGGAGTGTTCGGAGCCCTCCAGAAGTGTCCGGAAGCCCTGCGAGGTAGCACGGCCGGGTTCGACAACTTCAACCTTTCCCTGGACTCGACGCGCCTCAACACCGCGAAGCGGCGCAAGGTGGGGGCCATAACTAGCAGCCACGTAAACCCGCCCTTACAAGACCACCCAGGACAACCAAAGATAAGCCAAGATATCCAAAGCCTTTAAACAATCCGAAGGTGGAGATCTGCCGTGGTGAGGCAGAGTTCCACTCCGCCTTCACCATCCACCGATCCGAGGCATCGGCTTCAGTTTTTTGAGTGTTTAAGAGGGCATGTAGCTTTTTGTAAGCAGTAGCCTAACACTGGGTGAAGGCATTGGAGGCTCGGAAGTTCAGGCTGATCTTGGAAGAGTCTTGGGTATGGAGTGAGGTGTCCGGCTTCTCTATGCCGGGTATATCGGACGCAAAGGGCCATGAACCCAAGCTCTAGGCTTCTTGGAATCATAAAGTTTGAGGCGAACCGAAGCACGAAGAGGCGCCTCGCGTGGATCGTGCGCTACTGCCCCACAGGGCCCCTTCGGATGCTCTTGAGCGGGCTTTGAGGTTTCGGGATGTATAGGACTTTAGGATTCCAGGTACAGAGATGAGGTGCAAAAGGCCTTTAATTTCCGATCTGTTCTCGCGAGGTTTGTCTTGATCCAGAGATTCCAACACCTCCTGCAAAAAGCCCAGGACCCGTGTGGTCGGAGGGGTTCGGGGTTCCTTCGACGAGGGCTACCCCCTGGTTCCCGTAATGGGAAAAGGCGCGGAAGAGCGCCATGGTGAGCTTCACTCTATCCTGGGCGGCGGGAGCGAGCTTGCAAAGATCAAGCACGAGGTCTATGCTCCATGCTTTGGCAACGCGGTGCAAGCGCTGAAGAAGTGAGTGGGCCCAAACCTGCCACACGAAGCAGCTGAAAAGAGGAAAAGGGGAGCGGAAGATGTTTTTGTTGGAGTATGTTGTGGATAATCAGCGATCGTTGTTCTCTTTTCGTGGTATTGTGGAGGGCTGCTTGGCTGAAAGGCCTGCATTAGCGAAAGTGAAAGGGATTGCGCACTGGCTTCACGCATGACTCATCAGATAGCCAGTGATTTGGCCGAAGTCGACATGTTCGAAGGGCTCCCGCTAGCATACATATGGCTTCATCTCCAGCAGAACAAAGCAGCAAACGCCACTGTGCTCCCGTAAGCTCCACGCACCCAATCGCTGCTTCTGAGAACCCCCCCACCATCCTTCGGTCAGGTTCTGACTGGAGGCTTTGGGCTTTGGGTTTGACCGTCCCCCCAGACCCAGGACAGGATCGCTACGCCCGCGTCCTGGCGGCGTCACTAAGCGCACTTGGGGAGCTGGTGCCCGACAGGAGTTGTCGAAAGGGGTGTCGGCAAGGTGCTTTGGGAGTTACGCTACAGTTCCACTTTGTCTGCTATAGGGCGTCGTGCTCTTGCCGAAATTTCTGGATGCGAACCCAAAACAATCCAGTTTGAGAAGAGATCTGGTGGATATTGAGGTGGTTGGGTCTTGAGATCACATCTGAGGGCACGGCCGCAGGTACACGTTTGCAGCGCGCCGAACGACAGCGGGCAAGGCCAGATGCGTGAGGTCACGTATGGAAGATGATGGAAGGTTCGAGCACCAAAAGCCGCTGATCTGCTTCGGGCCAGGTACTGGGGGCATTGAGAGCTCCCGATGAGATTATAGAAGCCCTCGCACCTCAACATCCAAACCCCGAAATCCCCCCCCCTCTCCCCCGCTTAGCCGATGGGTTGCAAGGCGCTTCTCTTGCAGCGAGCCAGCTGGAGCCTTTCTTCGAGGTGCCGATGACAGCCGGAACTCTCTCATAGCTTGGTTGAAAGCGCGCCCGGGCCCAATCCTTGTCCAAACCTCGGGCTCGCAATAGGAGCTGCTACTAACATCTTCAAATCAAACCTTGCTGAACAAAATGGGCTTCGTATTCGAGAAGCAATCTTGGACCGGTAGGCCGGCAGTCAATGTGCCGTGTGGCCTCGCTTGGCCTCGAAGCAGCCGGGAAGCCTGGGTGTAGCGGCGAGGTGTCAGGAGGGTGTTGAGGGCCTTAGCAGCCACGTGGGTATTCCCCAAAAGTATAGGGGTCCCCTTTTTTTCCCCAAACAGAATAGAATCTCTTTAAAGAGACCCCCCCCCAAAAGGGCACCCCGATTTTCGGAAACCCCCATGTGGTCAGATGGGAGGGCTTTCGCATTCAGGCCTGATTCCGAGGCCACAAACCCTTCATGCTTCATGTCTAAGAGCTAAAACCAAAGGCCAGCGCCCATCCGCCGCGCGGCGGCGTCTTGGCAAGTAATAGAGCCGGCTTTCTGGATTGGTTTTGTCTGAGAGGGGCGATACAACCCAAGCTGTGCTGATGTTTAGTGGCTTTTGTAGCAGGAGTTTCAGCTTTTCGTGCAGCTTCACCGTCTTGACCCACCTGAAGTGAAGCCCGTGTCCTCAGACCTTCGGGGCTCGAAGCCTAAAGTAGCGGGGTGTGCAAAGCTTTAGCTTGGCATACAACTCCCAAGGCTCTTCAGATCTCTTCAAACTCGAACCCTAGGCGCTTAAGCTCAGCCTCAAAACTGGAATCCCACTGTGTTCAATTCATCTGGGGCTCTTCCCAGGTTCAGTGCTTGATGCGCACGTTCAAAGCTGTGGGGAAGGACTGCGCGGTGAGCGGGCGGGGCGCACAGCCTAGGGTTTCGGCTAGTAAGAGGGTGAGATGAGACTTTGTGGATTGAGGGTCAAGAATCAAGAAGGGGTTTTGGGGACCGAGGGCTTATGTTGACGGGTTTCAGACATCAAGCCCCAAGGTCTTGGATCTGGATTGTTGGTCGGAAGTTTGTCGGAGTGGCGCTGTGCTACTCTAGGCTTTAAGGTGCCAGGAAATGGCTTGAGGTAGGGGCAACTAAAGCCCGGCGTACAACTAGCAGGGGGCGTGCGAGAGGTGTGAGATTCAGGGTTCTGAGTTGTTGCGAGACAGCTCCTTTGAAAATCTCGAAGGTAAACTGACCGCAGCCCGATGCTGAGGTTGCATGTGGCGGGCGCCTCTCACCGCGCGGCTGCCCTGAATGCCCGGCGCTTGTACAATTGCCCGAGCTCAGGAGCTCGGATTTTGGTGGTTTGAGGAATGTTCGTGTTTTTTTTTGACGGCCTTTCGGAGATGCGATATCATCCGGCCGTGAGATAAGTAGGGATCGGCCGCGATGCAGATGCAGGGCCCGCATCCCTAAAGGCTTTAAAGGCCCTGACTCACTTCGTTCACAGAAGCTGGGTCATCAAGCCTTCAACGCATCTAGAGGCTGCGGTGGTGTGGGCCCACGCGTGTGCCCCTGTCAACCTTCCGAAGCTCACAAGCAGAGCCCCGAGCACGTCGATGCGCTGCGGCAAGGTCATGGCAGACGAAGCCATCCCTCCGACAACGGCAGCTGCGAGGGGCTCAGCCGCGAGGCTATGGGGCGAGAACCTCGGGTGAGTCGGGATCTTGGGCACTCGGGGCTCCATGTGACTGAAAGCCGTTTCCAGAAGTGTTTGGTTTTCGGGATGGTGGAAACTTGGAACCCAAGGCGGTGGCAAAAGATCCCCAAATCGTCGAAAAGGCCTCCAGTTTTGAAACCCCGCTCTCCGATCTGCACCCCTCCTGGTTGCTCCTGAATACTGCAATGTAAATCCGCTTCACCCACAACATGGGATCGGCAGGAAGGAAAGGCTTCTTGGCGAGAATGTCAGACCAGGTAAACCAGTGGCAGAAGCGAAGTGTTTCTACGCCGCAGTCAGTCGGCGCTGGCAAATTGTCTGTAGGTCACGAAGGTGGCTGCTAGCGACTTTGCTGTCCATTTTCGGAAGGAGACATGCAGAGGGGAGTATCGAAATGATTCGTTGATGGCTAGGCTGGTTGCGTCAATAGTCCGAAGCCGGCCAAAGGTTTCGCTGACTGGTTATATCAGATCACGACCGGTCGCACCTCTTGGCTGCTGCGCTAGTCAAGGCCTTTGTGAAAGAGTTTGCCGTGGCTGGTGAGCAGAGTGACTGCTGGGAAGGCGTGCCGGGGTTTACGATCTCACAGCAGAGTTCCCAAAGACTTCACCTTACACACCGACTCTTAAGAATCATCAACATCGTCGCTTGGAAAATAGCTCTCTCGGAGATCCCGCGGTCTACCTGAATCCCCTGGGGTTGTGTTTCATCAAAGGGTTAACATCCGGGAATGTTCGCAGTCCTTTCCTCAACACAGGCCCGGCGGTTCAGGGATGTGGGCTGTCTGGTGCAACAGTCGCACAAGCATGGTTGCAACACATGGGGTTGTCCCTCAACCATGCCTGCCCTACACCAACATGAATGACTAACTCGGTCCCTCACTTCCCCCCGCATCCCTCGCCGAGTCCGGTGCTTCCCGCCCCACATCCCTGGCGTTCGCCCTCTCCCCTCGCTCCCGTCGCGCGTCGTGCCCCGGGCTGCCAGGGGGACCATGCCCCAGATTCAAGCAGGCACCCGTAAACCCGCACTTGAAGATCCTAAAAGCCACCCCGGGATATTTTCGAGATGCTCCCTCAACGCCCTTCTGCTGACAGGCATGGTGGCCTCCAAGTCCCTGTGGCCACCCCTGACTGCGCTGCTCCGCCGCGGCGCCGCCAGCGCCGGGCGACGCGACGTGGCTCGGGGCCCCGAGATCCGCCCTCTCAGAAAATTCTTCGGGGCTCATGGAGTTTCAATGTAGAGGAGTTCAGGGGAGAATGCCTGCTATCAGGGAGCATTCGAGGCTCCGGTTTTTTGACAGAAGCATTCTTCATTCTGACGGCCGAGGCGGCCGACTTCCTCCAGCGCTTCTGCGAGCTTCTACAGGCACTGGTGTGGGATTCGTTGGTTTTTTGGCCTTGTTTTTGGTGTTGGGTTATATGGGCTGTTCGGGGCCAGGGGCTTTAAAATGGTGTTTTTGCGTCTGCTGTGGCTCTGTTGCTGAAGGCTTTGGACTCTGGGCGCAGGGGATGCAACCGAAGGGTTTCTTGCGCGCACGCATCTTGGTGTCATCCAAGGGCTTTAGATACCAAACGTCTCTGAACACATATCCCTAAACCCACAACACCCCAAACAGCTATCCTAAGTCCGATTCCCATATCCTGCTTCGTCGTTCAAGGCTTACAGTTCTCCGCCCGACATCGCAGCCAGCCATAGGTATTTCCCTCCAGCGCCTGGGCGCCTGGAAAAGCGGAGATGCTTCTGACGGAGATCCTTCAGGCATAGGGTGCATGGGAGGGTGATGGGCTCCGACTAGATCCATAATCAGTAATAATCAAAATAATCAAGCGTAGGTTTTGGTTCAAATATGAGTATTAATACAAGTTATAATATCATAATAATGCCAATGGATCCTATGTAAATGGTATACAACCAGCGCAAAATATTCAACCACTTTAACTATGTTGAGTTTTTTTTGATGTTTATTATTGTAACAGTTCGGAGACTCCCGAAGGAAACCTAAACTCCTCAAAACCTTGGCAAGACCAACTCGTGCGCGCCCTGCAAGTCCTCGGCGCAGCCCCGTGGCGCCTTCGCGGCAGCGGCGGAGGATGCTTGGAAGGCGGGGGGGGGGGGGGGGGTGGAGACACAGACATAGATGGTTACGCAGAGAAGGGGGGTGGGGGGGCTCAGGGTGCTTAGGGGACCTGGCTGCAGGGAAGAGGGCTCCTCGCGGCAGGGTTCTTGAAGCTCTTGGGCGCCGTGCATAAAAAAAGTTAAGGTTTGGCACATCGTGTTTTGGATGGCTTTGATGGCTTGGGGGGGAGCATCAAGTGCTTCGAGGGTTAAGCAAAAATCCGGATGTCGGGAAAAGCAATGGGCGATACTATTTGTGCAGTAGTTCAGCGGAAGACATCCTCAAGGTTTTGAGATGTGCTCATGGCATTTTAGGGGGTTGATGGCATCTCGCATGGTTTGCATCGTTGTTGGGCACCAGCAAGTGCAAACTCTAAAACTGGGGGCTCGGGACGTCGTGAAGATTCCTTGGAGGAGATGCTGCACCTTAAACCCAGCTTAACGCTCTCGACTAACTTCAAGCCTTTCATTACGCCCTACAACATCCAAGCACCATAAGCACTTCTCAGGCGTACTTCTCGGTTTGTTCGGCCGCGGGCGACCACGCTCGGCGTCCAGAGTGTGTGTGTGTGCGAAGTTTTGGTTCGGGGGGGGGGGGGGGGTGGGGGACGGCTTGAAGGATGCGAGCGAAGACCCCTTTCCCCCCTTTCCCCCCTTTTGGGCCTGGTCTTGTGATTTCGGGCCTCGGGATGCCTTTGAGAGCACGGACTGAAACGAGAGGACCAGCTCTCTTAGCCTTGTAAGCCCTCGAAAACATCGAAGACTCCAAAAGAAAGTCCAAGCCGAGGAGCCCCTCCGTTTTCTTTGAAGCTCTCAGTCCCAGGTCGGTTTCGAGTGGCGTTGGCACCCGGTGGCGCTGTTCCTGGGCTGTAGGCCTGGGGGTTCTTGTGGGGGGTTCTTGTGAGGCTAGTCTCCGAACAGCCTTCGAACAGCCTCCGAGAGCCCAGGAAACATTTGCCCTCCGGCAGGGGCGACGTTTGGCAAGTTCCGAAAGTCCATCTGATGTCTTGGCGCCTGCTGTTACACCAGTCTCCGACCAGCTGGTAGGTGCAGAGTGCTTGCATCAAAAGCCGTCAACAGACATCTTGCCATACAGCAGCATTCTTCACTTAGCAGTCTTAGCTTTGCCCAGCAGAGTGTTGCACTTGGCAGAGGGTTTGCACTTGGCAGTATGCCCGCAGAGAGCTGTCTTGGGCCGAGAGACTGAGAGACCGCTGGAAACATGGCCCTGGGCGCTGTGAGCCGGGCAGTTGGCGGGGCCTCCCACGGAGCCGCGGCAGCATATGGGCTCTCTTTATCTGCTCGCCTATGCTGTACTACGCCATGCTGCACTACACTATATGATACTTCTCTTGAAGATCTTAGAGTACATCACAACAAACCTCACTATCAAGAACATGTTATGACATGACAAACTAAGACCCGACCTCAAGTATGGAGGTGCCCCAATCTAAACACCTCCCCAGACCCGCAGCTCGAACAACCTTGCCACCAAACAGGTAAGGCCTTAAGGCCACGACGCCCTGAGTCATTTTGGAAACGTCTGGCCGCTGGCCCTTTCTGTGAGTTTTCGAGTATTGTCCACTATCACGCAAGTCAACGTGAGCATTGCAGGCCTTTGCTCTTGAACCGAATGGCCAGTAGACCTCGACCATCTAAACCCTAAACCCTAAACCCTACCCTAAACCCTAAACCCTAAACCCGTAAACCCCTAAACCCCTAAACCCTTAACCCTAATACCCTCATACCCTAGTACCTTAATACCTTGATACCCTAATGCCCTAATACCCTAATACCCTGAACCCGAGGAGCCTCGCAGGGCACGGTGGCAGCTGTCGTGGCGGCGGCACTTTCAGCTGCGGCCGAGCCTCAATGCGAGGCCCCGGAGCTAAGGGAATCAAGGTTTCTTAGGAGGCTTTTCGTCTTTGTGCCATAGTTTAAATGTAGGCTAGGAGGTGAGAGTGTGAATGGTTGAAGAGGGTCTTGCTCGTGCGGGGTGTCGAGTTCAGGCTTTGGAAACCTGTTGTAGGTGTCAAGTTTGTGAGGCCTTCGGTGAAGGTTTTGCCAGCATAGGAATCTGGAAGCTGGAATCAACTGCCCAGCCTCGGATTTCCAGTACAGAATTTTGAGCGACGCTCGTAACATCACTCTTGAATCACGCAGCTTTGAAGCCCAAGGACCATTGCAGTACTCAAGGATCACAAGTTCAATCGAATGTTCTTAGCAAACTGGACAAGAACGCGCAAAAGGCCTCAATCCAAATATCCACAAACGTTGGACAAAAGATCGTTGGGATCAACTTTTGGGACAGGTGCCGGGCCCCTTGGTTCTAGGATTCTAGGAACCCACGGATCTCCGCGGTGAAGAAGTGCTGGGAGGAGAGCGTGAGGACTTCTCTTGCCGAGCATCTCGTCAAGCTGCCCCTGTTTGAGGCGCGGATCGGCCCGGAGGTTTGGGGATTGGCCTTGGGGAGATTGGGTGTTTGGGTGTTTGTTTTTGGATGTTTTGGTTCGATCTCGGACCGCAATATCGGGGCATATCAGGGCACAGAGTCTGCTCGAAGCTCTGTGAAGCTTCCCAGAGGCCTTGAACGCCGCATCGGCTGCCTTGTGCCCGGGCTGCCTGGGACACTTGAGGTGTGGGCTGAAACGGGCTGAAGCTGAAGGAAACTAAACCACGGATTCCGAACTCAGGGATCAGAACCTTGATGTGCCTTCAAATTCCACACCCGAAGACCTGAAAAGCCCAAACGCCCGGAAGCTTCCAGGGGCCCGCCCCCTCCCCCCTCCCCCACCCGAACCCGCAAGCGCCTCCTAAATCATCGACTGATCGACATCTGATGCCCAGGCTTCCCCCAACAGCCCGTGGGGCGGTGGCAGGCGCGTTGGCTTCGGCGCTTGCTGCCCAGAGCACGGAGGCCGTTGCAGGTTTTCATCGACGTTTGCTGGGGGCTTCGAAATGATTCAGCCACTGCAGGTTTCACGCTTAGGACTTAGGACCTTGAAGCAAACACTTTCGGGGAGTGGGACTTCTGCCATGCCCCCCGAATGGATCCAAAACGAGCGTGCAGTGCATCGGGGCCAGCTGAGGATAGCTCAATGGGCGAAGGATGCCCCTGAAAGTCGGATGTCCCAAGCCTCTCCTGACAAGCTTTCAATGATGCAGGTCTAAGCTGTTGACGCCTTCTCAGTTCCAAAACCTCGGGCCCCGAAACGCTCCTGCACACCAGAACTTCCATCCCCTCACAATTCCTCCCCCCCCCCGCCCCCCCCCCCCCACCCCCGCCGCCCCCCCCCCCCCCCCACCCCCCCCCCCCCCCCCCCGCCCCCCCACCTGCCCCCCCCCGCCCCCCAACCTTTGATTGCAAGGTTTCAAGCACCCCGAAATCCCTCTGCGAGTCCCAAGCATTCTGGGAAAACCTCCGCCAGAGGCATCGGTGGCACGTCTCGACCGCTCTGTGTAGCCTGGGTGCAACATTTGAAGGCGAAATCCCCAAATGCACTTATGAACTCCATGACGATCGGGAGACTTTCGCAGGCTTTGCAAAGTTTAGGGTTCAGGACGTAGGGGTCGAAGCCAGTGGGTTCCTGGCTCGGGGCTCCGTGCCATAGGCATCTACCCATGTTCTTGTTGGTGACAGATGTTGATGATGTTGGCAGAGTTGCTGGGTGTGTAAACTCCGTGCCCGCAACACACACAGCCCCTTTGGAGCAAACATGATTCATGTGAGGCTCGAGGTGTTAAGGTTGAGGTCCTCGCGGCGCAGCTCGTGTTGGGAGCCGATGGAGTCGGGGGTCAATTTGGTCAACTTGGTCAACTTGGTCAACCAAGAGCTCCTTTCTCACGGGAATAAGGCTACTCCAAGATGCACTCTATGGCATCGCCCGGAACAAGATCTACGCCTTGGTCGCGGCTCTCAATCCGCTGCGGACCAGGTTCCGGGAAAGATTTAAAGGTCCAGCCTGTGCAATTTTTCTTGAGGTTGGGGTGAAGGATGTTGGGGTGAACAATACAGCACCAAAGGGGTCAAGCCTCAATGTCCCAAACCCGTCGACACAACACCCAAACCCGCAGAGCACTGCAGCACCAAAGGGGCCAAGCCTCGATGTCCCAAACCAGTCGACATAACACCCAAAACCCAAAGCATTGCAGCACCAAAGGGGTCAAGCCTCGATGTCCCAAACCACTCTTCACAACAGCCAAACCCCCAGAGCAATGCAGCACCAAAGGGGTCAAGCCTCGATGTCCCAAACCAGTCGACATAACACCCAAAACCCAAAGCAATGCAGCACCAAAGGGGTCAAACCTCAATGCAGCACCAAATTGGTCAAGCCTCGATGTCCCAAACCAGTCGACATAACACCCAAAACCCAAAGCATTGCAGCAAACCAGTCGACAGAACACCCAAAACCCAAAGGCAGCACCAAAGGGGTCAAGCCTCGATGTCCCAAACCACTCTTCACAACAGCCAAACCCCCAGAGCAATGCAGCACCAAAGGGGTCAAGCCTCGATGTCCCAAACCAGTCGACATAACACCCAAAACCCAAAGCATGCAGCACCAAAGGGGTCAAACCTCAATGCAGCACCAAATTGGTCAAGCCTCGATGTCCCAAACCAGTCGACATAACACCCAAAACCCAAAGCAATGCAGCACCAAAGGGGTCAAGCCTCGATGTCCCAAACCACTCTTCACAACAGCCAAACCCCCAGAGCAATGCAGCACCAAAGGGGTCAAGCCTCGATGTCCCAAACCAGTCGACATAACACCCAAAACCCAAAGCAATGCAGCACCAAAGGGGTCAAGCCTCAATGTCCCAAACCCGTCGACACAACACCCAAACCCTCAAAGCAATGCAGCACCAAAGGGGTCAAGCCTCGATGTCCCAAACCAGTCGACATAACACCCCAAACCCAAAGCAATGCAGCACCAAAGGCGTCAAGCCTCGATGTCCCAAACCAGTCGACATAACACCCCAAACCCAAAGCAATGCAGCACCAAAGGGGTCAAGCCTCAATGTCCCAAACCCGTCGACACAACACCCAAAACCCAAAGCAATGCAGCACCAAAGGGGTCAAGCCTCAATGTCCCAAACCCGTCGACGCAACACCCAAACCCGCAAAGCAATGCAGCACCAAAGGGGTCAAGCCTCGATGTCCCAAACCAGTCGACACAACACCCAAACCCGCAAAGCAATGCAGCACCAAAGGGGTCAAGCCTCAATGTCCCAAACCCGTCGACACAACACCCAAACCCGCAAAGCAATGCAGCACCCAAGGGGTCAAGCCTCGATGTCCCAAACCAGTCGACATAACACCCAAAACCCAAAGCAATGCAGCACCAAAGGGATCAAGCCTCAATGTCCCAAACCCGTCGACACAACACACAAACCCGCAAAGCAATGCAACACCGAAGGGGTCAAGCGATGTCCCAAACCAGTCGACATAACACCCAAAACCAAAAGCAATGCAGCACCAAAGGGGTCAAGCCTCAATGTCCCAAACCCGTCGACACAACACCCAAACCCGCAAAGCAATGCAACACCAAAGGGGTCAAGCCTCGATGTCCCAAACCAGTCGACATAGCAGCACCAAACGGGTCAAGCCTCAATGTCCCAAACCTGTCGACACAACACCCAAACCCGCAAAGCAATGCTGTCCCAAACCAGTCGACAAACCACCCAAAACCCAAAGCAATGCAGCACCAAAGGGGTCAAGCCTCAATGTCCCAAACCCGTCGACACAACACCCAAACCCGCAAAGCAATGCAACACCAAAGGGGTCAAGCCTCGATGTACCAAACCAGTCGACATGACACCCAAAACCCAAAGCAATGCAGCACCAACGGGGTCAAGCCTCAATGTGCCAAACCCGTCGACACAACACCCAAGCCCGCAAAGCAATGCAACACCAAAGGGTCAAGCCTCGATGTCCCAAACCAGTCGACATAACACCACAAACCCAAAGCAATGCAGCACCAAAGGGGTCAAGCCTCAATGTCCCAAACCCGTCGACACAACACCCAAACCCGCAAAGCAATGCATCGATGTCCCAAACCAGTCGACATAACACCCAAAACCCAAAGCAATGCAGCACCAAAGGGGTCAAGCCTCAATGTCCCAAACCCGTCGACACAACACCCAAACCCGCAAAGCAATGCAACACCAAAGGGTTCAAGCGATGTCCCAAACCAGTCGACATAACACCCAAAACCCAAAGCAATGCAGCACCAAGGGGGTCAAGCCTCAGTGTCCCAAACCCGTCGACACAACACCCAAACCCGCAAAGCAATGCAACACCAAAGGGGTCAAGCCTCGATGTCCCACACCAGTCGACATAACACCCAAAACCCAAAGCAATGCAGCACCAAAGGGGTCAAGCCTCAGTGTCCCAAACCCGTCGACACAACACCCAAACCCGCAAAGCAATGCATCGATGTCCCAAACCAGTCGACATAACACCCAAAACCCAAAGCAATGCCGCACCAAAGGGGTCAAGCCTCAATGTCCCAAACCCGTCGACACAACACCCAAACCCGCAAACCGATGCAATGTCCCAAACCAGTCGACATAACACCCAAAACCCAAAGCAATGCAGCACCAAAGGGGTCAAGCCTCAGCTTTGGGTTTTGGGTGTTATGTCGACTGTCGACTGGTTTGGGACATCGAGGCTTGACCCCTTTGGTGCTGCATTGCTCTGGGGGGTTTGGGCGTTGTGAACTTGAGGGTGGAGTAAGCAGGTCCAGCCTCGGCTGCTTCATCAACATCCTGGCGGCTGCCACGGCCGCGCACGTTCTCTCCACGCCAGGGAAGGAGGCAGGGCCTCAAGGGTCGATGCAGTGGTCGATGCTCAGGGTTGGGGGAGTTGCTCATGGTTTGCCATTGAGTTCGATTGAGTTCGGCTCTTCCCTCGAGAGATGAAAGGCCAAGTCTTGATTCCCCGCCAATGCTTAAATTAACCATGGAAGCTCGCACAGGTCCTGGACTATTTCCTGGTCCCGCACGGCAAGAGGCAGCCACTGCTAGAGTTCCTGCAGCCGGCAAGGCGCAAGAGACGGGTCGAGGCTGAGGCTTCGGGGTTGTAGAGCTCAGCATGCAGTCCTAACCTATAGAGTATAGAGCCGGGGCGTTTAAGAGGACTACGCACATGAACCCAGAGTCTTTGACAAGAGCTTCGAGCACCGCGACGCATAGCCCCAAGCCCACTGAACTCTGAAACTAAACTCTACGAGTCACTATGAAGAAACCATCAAAAGGAATGAAAGCACCAGGTGGTTTCGGGACGGTGCCCAGCACGCGCTCCTTGTTGGCCTGAGCCTGGCTGTGGGGGCCCTGGCGACGCTGCAGGCGGCGCAGGGCCGGTTAGGTCTGCAAGTTCTTGATATTTGAGATTGCTTGAGTCTTCGAGCTCAGGCTTCGAAGCTAGGTTGCGATGGTTTGGGATCATGTGCCCGGCTGAGGCTGCCTCCACTATTCAACAGGGTAAGCAAACCCTTCAAGAACCCCTCAATGGCTCGCCACGCAGTCACGGGGAGGTGGAGAAGCTGGGCACCTTCCTAGCACGTCAGCTCTGGCGGCGACCCCGTGGCCTGCAGCTCGCCTCAGAGAATCATCAGAGACCGTTACCTGCGGATGTCGGACGATGACTGCGAATTTGGGGGCTGATGGGCGCGTGTGTGTGGAGCTTCGGGTTGGAAGTGTTGGGTGCCGGGCAAAAAAAATGAACTTCAGAAACTGGAAGGGCTCGCCGCAATGCGACTGCAGGGCGACTGCACAGCGTCTTGGGTTTCCCTGGATTTCCCCGGAGGCTGGCTGCCGGGATGGTGCTGGTGCTATGCCGGCTGCGCCTGCACAGCCTGCACAGCCTGCGCATGGCCCTGCTGAAGTCTGGAACTCTCGAGAGCTCAGGGCTTCCGGCGCTGCTTCTGAGCAGGGCGGAGGCTCGCGACTTCTACTGGGTGGTTCGGATGGGCACTGCAGCTGCTATACAGTAGCTACTGTAGCTGGTCAAAGGGCTTCGGGTGTGTGTGAGTGTGTGCACGAGGGCTGAAGTGGCTTGAGCACGGAAGTCCATGCCGATGTGTGCTTTCGCCTTCTTCTTGTTGTGGTGCTGACCTTTGTTGCTAGAATTTCAGCATCGCGATGGCACATGGTGCCACGCATTGTCGCGTTAGTGGCCTTCGGGAGTCGGCTTTGAGGTAGCCTATATGTAGGGTATGTAGAGTTTTGGATGTTGAGTGTCGAAGCGCCTAGGTTGTGTAGATCCTAAATAAGCCCCAACTACCCCAAACCTCTTTGATACTCTCAGGCAACCTCAGGCAAGTCTTTACCCCGACAAGTGTGCCTTTCCAGGCGCGCGCCGAGGAGAAGGCCACCCGCCTCCGGGGTCTGCTGGGAGGGCTGAGGCCCTTAGTAGGAGATCGCGCGGGGTCTTGGCGGTGTTAGGATCCGGTGTAAAAAAAAATGCTTGAGCCAAGGGTTTGATCATGGGTACACACGGGCACACGGCAGTCCCGACTTTGAGTACAAGGGCACTTTTCGTCAACTTAGATCCTTGATCAATCTGAACCTGCAAGTGTTCTATGGTGAGTCGGAATCTTTGCGGTGGCTCGATTCTCCAACATGTGGTTTCATCAGGCCTGGGCTTTGTTCCAGAGTAGCTGGTGGGGTTTGCTCTGTCCTGCACTTTGCAAGTGCTCTACCTTCACTCGTTCTGTGGTTTTCTCCTGCGCGGCTTCTTCGGGGCTTTGGGCTTCTTTTGTTTCTTCCGAACCTTCCTCTTCTTGCTGTGTCCTTGTCAAGACTTTGGTCTTCGCCTGGGAGCCTCTGCGCCCTCTGTCAGCCCACAACCACCTCAAGGCCCTCACAGAACCCTACCAAACATGCTTCGCTGGCTGCTTTCACTCAACGCTTCAGGCTCCGCCCACAAGTTTTTGGACTTGGGGGAAACCACCCCACCCTCGCAGCGAAAAGTTTCCGAGGCGGTTCCTGCAGAGGAGGTCTCGGCAGAGCCTAGTACGCAGAGCGACGCCGAGCCAACGTTCCCGGCGCCTGCTGGCGAGCTGGAGGCACACCTTGGGCTGTTGTAAGGCCCAAGCCTTTGAATCTGGAGCTTACCACAATTGTTCATACCAACATCGGTTTGGTTGCCTGTGCTGGCATGTTGGCTGGAGCGAACGAACCAACCAGGCCTCAACACGTCCCAAAAAATCCAGAAACTCATAAGACTTCAATCATGAACCCGACCAAACATGCGTCGGTGGCTGCTTTCGAAACTTGGGGCTTCGGGCTATGCCCGCTATCTTTTGGAGTGGGGGGAAGGGGAAACCCTACTCAAGCAGCAGGACATGAATCGAATCCTTGACCTCCCACCCCACCCTCACAGCGAAAAGTTTCCGAGGAGGTTCCTGCAGAAGTTCCGGCAGAGCCTAGTACGCAGAGCGACGCCGAGCCAACGTTCCCGGCGCCTGCTGGCGAGCTGGAGGCACACCTTGGGCTGTTGTAAGGCCCAAGGCTTTGGGTCTGGGGCTTGCCACGGGTGTTCATACCAACATCGGTTTGGTTGCCTGTGCTGGCATGTTGGCTGGAGCGAACGAACCAACCAGGCCTCAACACGTCCCAAAAAATCCAGAAACTCATAAGTCATAAGACTTCAATCATGAACCCGACCAAACATGCGTCGGTGGCTGCTTTCGAAACTTGGGGCTTCGGGCTATGCCCGCTATCTTTTGGAGTGGGGGGAAGGGGAAACCCTACTCAAGCAGCAGGACATGAATCGAATCCTTGACCCCACCCTCACAGCGAAAAGTTTCCGAGGAGGTTCCTGCAGAAGTTCCGGCAGAGCCTAGTACGCAGAGCGACGCCGAGCCAACGTTCCCGGCGCCTGCTGGCGAGCTGGAGGCACACCTTGGGCTGTTGTAAGGCCCAAGGCTTTGGGTCTGGGGCTGCCACGGGTGTTCATACCAACATCGGTTTGGTTGCCTGTGCTGCATGTTGGCTGGAGCGAACGAACCAACCAGGCCTCAACACGTCCCAAAAAATCCAGAAACTCATAAGACTTCAATCATGAACCCGACCAAACATGCGTCGGTGGCTGCTTTCGAAACTTGGGGCTTCGGGCTATGCCCGCTATCTTTTGGAGTGGGGGGAAGGGGAAACCCAGTCCAGCTGGGTTAGCCTACTCAAGCAGCAGGACATGAATCGAATCCTTCACCTCCCACCCCACCCCCACAACGAAAAGTTTCCGAGGAGGTTCCTGCAGAAGTTCCGGCAGAGCCTAGTACGCAGAGCAACGCCGAGCCAACGTCCCCGGCTGCTGACAAGCTGGAGGCGGAAAGCCTTTATAGGGCCTTTGAGAGAGGAATTTGGGGGATTCGAGAAATTTAAAGCTAAGAAGGGCTTGTTGTCGGTTTGTGGACCGAGGGGTCTGAAGATTCAAGGCCCAGGTTCGGGATGAAGGTGGATCCGTGTGAAACTTTCTGCTGCAAGTGCGGAAGAGGCGACAGCCTCGAACCACGCCCCCGAACAGCTTGCCCAACGAAGGGCTTAGTATGTTGAGCAGATCGTTCCATTCCAGGTTCAGAGCGCTCCACCCCTCGAGATTCCGCTGGAGACGGTGGATCTCGCTGAGGCGATGTACAGGTTTTTTCCCATCCCCGGTGTGGGCTTGTTCTGTTTTTACAAGCTGAGCTCTTCCTCTTCGCCCGGTCTCCTCCTCGCCCATCACCCGCACCCCAGAGTATCCAGAAAGTCCGGTCCCTGGAAAGCCAAGTGTGCCCAGAGAGAGAGTCTTGGAGTGCCCAACCCCAAAGCATCCCCGGAGTGCCCAACCCAGATTGTATCCAGAGAGTCCCTAGAGTGCCCAACCCTTCAGTGCTCATTCCTGGACCAGTATCTGCAGAGAATCCCGAGCAGAGAATCTCAGGGTATTTCCAGAATCGGTGTGCCCAGCCCCAGCCCTAGAACACGCCAGATTTTTTTGGAGAGTCACTGGAACCTGGAGTGCCCCCATCCCAGAGTGCACCACCCCAGAGTATCCCCACAGAATTCCTGGACTGCCCGACCCCAGATTAATCCCCATGTGTTTTTAGTGCCAGTATGTAGCTTGCAGACGCCGGCGCGTAGCGCTTAGTGACTGACATCCAAGCCCATAAAAAGCTGATCAACTCCACACCCAACTGCCGAGCATCAGCTTCAAAGCCAGGCCGTGCCGGAACGGAGTCTGCCAAGGTTCCCCGACATGTTCCGAAAGTTGCTGTGCAATGTTTCGTGAGAGGTTGATTTCGGCCAGCTCCGTACAAAGCGCCAAATCTAGAATTGCAGCAAGAAGCTCATCGAAAACCTGGGAGCCTGACGAACTAGCAATCTACTATACTAAGTCAAAACTGCTGCGAGGCATTGTTAACGTGTACACGTGCATCCTGCGGCTTACCGTTCCGCATGCTCCCCAGACGCCCTGTTTTCAGGTACTTCTCCATGGTGCTGTCCCAGCCTTCAAGCATGCCCGTGACACCTCACTCGGAGGGACACGCAAGCGTGCCACTCGCCAGCAACTTCCCGCTATCGACGCCGACGACGCCGACGGCGCCCACGTACCTCCCAGCCCTTTGGCCGCGTTTTGGAAGAGATGCTGAGTGGCATTGACTTGACGCTAAACGATTCACCCTGCCTAAGACTTCATGAGCATGACATCTACATACCGGGTTCATGTCACGGTGTCACCCTAGACTTCCCCAACCCCCCCCCCCCCCCTCGCCCACTCCCCCCCCCCCTTCCCCGCCCCCAAACCTGAAGTTTCATGCCAGGTCTACCGCTCCAGGGCCGGCCTCAGCTACAGCAGCGCTGTTCCCGTCCGAGGTGCCTCTTACACGGCTCCTTGGCTGTGCTTGGTGGATCGTCTCGGTCACTTAGGAGCTTCAGGCTATGTCAACCTGAAAATACATCATCTCGCATGGTGGATGCGACCAACAGTCGACAGTTCGGTCATTTGCAGCCGACTGACGTGCTTCCTATGTGTCTTCTCCAAGAGCCAAGGGCAGCCAAGGTCCCGGCAGCAACTCGCCCCATTGCCAGGCAATGAGGATGAAGAGCCCTGTACCCTGAAAACTTCAGCCTCGAATCCCCTCATTTGCAGCATGAATGGGAGAAGGCTTGCCAGCCAGGGGCTTTATCCAAACTCCTCCCCTGAACTCCAATCCCTCAAGCCCCTGTTCCAGGCACTCTTTACCTGTACAGCCAGCAAGTGCAACGGTGATGCCCCACGGCAGCTGGGTCATTGTTGGAGAACAAGATTTCTGTGTATCGTTGAGCCTCGAAGAATCGCAGCCACCGAAGTATAGTAGGATTGAAGCCAGACACAGATGACAAACCCTCGATCACGCTGTTCTAACTTTCTTGAAGCGCCACATGTTTGAAGATGTTTCAGAATCCTTCAAAACCATCATCCTGGGTCCCAGGCAGTGGCCCAGCCCTCCCCGTCCGCCTCGCCTCCAACGGAAACGCGGACATTTCTCGCCCGCAGACTCCAGCTGGCAGAGTTGGGACAGCCGTCCACCCGCCGCACATGTCGCACGTGCAGGTGATGCACGCTCAGGTGCGAAGCGTGCCGATGGCACCAGTCTACAGGTCAGGAATACTTCCAGGCACAGAGCACAGGCAAGCCATTCCTCCGAGAGTCCTGCTCTCTTCGTCTGCGCCCCATGGGGCGCCTGGAACTCCATGGGCTGGAATGCCTTCACGCCCTGGGCAAGGCCGGATGGAGCCGACCCCAGCAACGGGTGCTCCACTGTCGCAGTCGTGGGGTGTGTCGACGATGCAGAGGCACATCTAACTTTGTAGGTGAGAGCTGTTTCCAGACTTTCCAGGCCTTCTGATGGTAGAAGCCACCAGAGATACTGGAGAGGACTTGCAGGTTTGATATCCACAACTCACACATGCTGAGTTGACTTGCTGGCCGAATGGGTCGACAAAGACTCATGGCCAAGGCACTTTGTTCTTCCCGTTCCACTGTAAATCATTTTCAATGTGTCAAAAGCAACTGGTTCCCTTCCGCACGCATAAATGGATTCCGGAGCTTTATGACCTGGGACACGAGATTTTGACACGCCCGCATCGGTTCAGCCGGCGCAAGCCAGGGTTTGAAGCTTGAGCGGCGAAGGCATGTGTTTCGACAACCTTGCCAGCAAGGGGGTTGCTGTGGAAAAAGAGGCTCCCTCTCCCTGCAGCCACGGCCTGCTGGCAGCTGGCACTGTCGTTGGTCTTAGGGTTGTCGTCTTAGGCTCAGGGTTGTGGACCCCCCAAACATGTTTTGATGATGTAGAGGCTTGGCTGAGACATGGGCACGGGCAACAGCCAGTTTTTGACGTTGCGTGCCAACTACAATCGACATCCCCCAAACACTAGTCCAGAGATGGGTTAGCAACCAAGCAATTCGCTGCTGTTGCAGCCCGATTCCTGGGGCATGCGTGTGGAAACCACGGGAAATAAGCAACGCTTATGAACATGAAAGCTTTTCAGAACCCCATGTCCTAGACCCAACCCTATACCTTAGACTGCCGCGACTCTAAACGGCCCTGCGAGCACGTCGCCCCCGGGTCAGGCAGCCAGCTGAGGCACAAGATCCGGCCCCCCCACAGGCTTGGGCATCACGAATCGGGTTGCGTGCGCCTGGTGAGGCATAGGCGGAGGAGGTGTGGTGTTTTTCACGTTATGGTAACTCGGGACTACTAGGGGTTTAAAAAAAAGCCCTAAGATCGTGCAATGAACGGTGCGGCTATTGCAGTAGCAGCAGGCCAGAGGCTGAATTTCGGACAAGCCGCTTGCCCCACCTCAGCACCAAAAACTCCACCACCCCGCTGAAAACTAGGGACATGGCAGACGATCCTTGTGAAGCCCTAAGTCACGGCACCCTAACCCCCATTTTTCAGCAATGCCCCAAGCCCAACTCCTCTAAACTCTAAACAGACGCCTCCAGAAGCGGAGGTCACGCTCCCGGAGTCCCTCAAGGCCCCTCTGCCTGGGGCACTGGCCGCTGGCCTCTCGGGTGAGGCCGGGGATGTGAACAGGAAATGCTGAGAGGGCGCTCAGCAGCGGCTCTGAGGTTTTCGGTTTACGGGGTGGAGGCCGCGAAGGTGTGAGAGCCTGCCTGGGTCGTTCGAGGGGGCCTCAGGGCTTGCAGGCTTTAAATCCTTCAAGCCGGGGAGCCCTGATCCGCAAGTCCAAGCTCTACGACGGAGCTCGAAAGCTGACCGGTCATGGATTGCCCCTGCTCTCCCCCCCCCCCACCTCCTGTCTCCTCCCGCCTTCTCCCCTTCTCGAAGGCATTGGAAGAGCTTGTAGCTCGCTTGGCAACCATCACCGACACACTGCAGGCGCGCTGCACTGGGCTTTGGAGTAGTAGGGTTTAGGTTGTTCAGTGGTGGCATCAGCTGAGGGCAAGTTTAGGGTGCCCCTCCGTCTGAACCTACCGAAGCCGAACCTCGAATCCAGACTCAGGGCCTGTTCTTTTCTCAATTTCTTGTGTAGCCTGTTCTCAAAATCTCCTTTTGGCCCACGTGCGCGGGCAGGTGGCCGCTGAGAATGAAGGCCGCGGCCTGAGCAACGAGGCCAATCAGTGTCAGGCTCTGGAGTTTATCTGAGATGTATCTGTGTTCCAGACGGTGAATCGGGGGGTTATTCTCAAAGGGGGCTGCCAGCTCAACCCGGAATACCACGAGGCTGCCTTCCATACTGACATACTTCTAGAAACCCTCAAAGAGAGGACTGAGAGACTGAGAGGACCAGGAAAAGCATCAAAAATCAACGTGGAGCTCTGCTACAAGCAGAAAGATAACATTAAAAATCCAATGTTCAGACTGCTCAGAAAGCCCGGGGCCCTAAGCCTTGACCAGTCCACCAAGGCCCGTCGCTCAGGCCGCGTCCGAGTTGGGCTTTTGAGAGCTTTGTGCTAGGTGTTCGCGTTCTGGGTTTGGGTTCAAAGGTAGCCCTGCAAAGCCTTGAGAACATGTCTCGTAGTCTCAAGGCTTTGTGTTGCGAAGGCTCCGCCAGCGAAACTGTTCGTAGCATCAGGCCGTCTCAAGCCAGGCCTGGGCAGTGGAGCAGCTGTGCTGGGCGGACGTACGGATCGTTGTCTTAAAGCATGGATGCTGGCGCTGCACCCAAACTACGTTGTAAGTCGATAGCGGTACTCGCACGGGTGGTTTTTTTCCCTTCCTCAAATATGTCCTTTAACTCTAAGCCCCAAACCCGAAAATTAAGAAAATACCCCGAATCCAAAAATGAAACTGCATTCTAAACCCTATAAACCCTTAATCAGGCGCTGAAGTCCAGATAGCCTCAGCAGTCTCCAAACCCGATACAGGGCTTCGTGCAGCGAGCGTAGGGTGAGAATTCAACCGCTCCTGAACCGCGAGCCAAAAACAAAAACCCGGTACCAAACCTTCAAGCCAGCCCCCTGCGCCCTGCACCCTGAATGCAACGTGCCAGTGCATGGACAGTGTTGGCCAAGACCCTGCAGATGACGAAGGTGCATCCACCCAGCTTTGGGATGTGGAGTGGTTGGTGGACTACTGACTACTGGATAGGTCGCACAAGGAGGGTCATGATGAAAGGTACCCCTTGAGGCCCCAAATCTGAATTCTGAAGAATCAGTTGGGTGGTAAGGCTTGCCGTTTAGGTTTAGGCCTTTGCGTTCAACAAACATGCGAAAAGTCGCAGTCCCGACTTGATTCTATGCCAGAGCCACGAACTTCTACTCGAAGTCCTATCTCGCAGCTCCTTGCCCAGGTGCCTGCAGTGGAGCTGACACTGCAGAGACTTGTCGTGGGGCAGCTGCGAACACTGGTCGCACTGGTGGCATCTTGCAGGATGTTGGGTGTGTTTTCCGGTCTCCTTGGCTGCCCCAACATCAGAACAGGTCGATTTGCATAAATTTCTGGGTCCTTTAGGGCCCCTTATAGCCCCCCCCCCCCCCCACCCTCCGAAGTTCCGATCCACGAGCCAAGTTAATTAGAGGCCTACGGAATTTGAATCACAGAGCCCTGGCTACTAGTACTGGTCTCTTTGAAGCACGCCGAGGGCGACTGCTGCTCGATGCGCTTCGCGGAAGCCCAACGCCCCAGGCTGGGGGCCGTCCACCAGCTTATAGGGGCTTAGGGCCTGTCTCCCACAGTGGGCTCCTTGACCTATGCCAAAACTGGGTGCGGACATGAGAACTTGAAGGGTGTTGCGCTTCCAACATTCCCGGAGTGGATCTTGCCTAACATGATTTTTCAGGTTCAGAGAGGGGGTAGAGAGAGCCAAAAATCAGCCTATCGGAACATAGCTGAGTTCACCTCCTTGGCAACTTTGCTACTTTGCTATGGCTGTCGGAACCTTTCCACAAAAATGGAGACGTTAGAATACTCATTTAGGGTTTCGGGTTTCTTTAACGTTAAGAAACCCTCAATCTTTAACGTGCTCTGGGCAGATGCTGGATGCTCTCCGCGCACTGCTCTCCTGCGACATCGGGGAGGGCCTCGATCCAAAGGTGCCCGAGCTCTGGGGGCTGCTATTTTGGATTGAGCCTGCGGCTGTTTGGTCACAGTGTATGAACCTGCTCTACTTGTTTGCTTGCCTACACGTCTGAGCCTCCGGCTATTTTATGCCTGGGTGGCCTCCCTGATGAACCCTACCGTTCACCGCGATGCAGGATCCTGATCTGAAGGAAGCACTGGGCGGCGAAGGCACCGGAAAGCTTTAGGGCTGTCGGAGAGGGCTTTTCGGGGGCTTTGAACTCTGAACAAGTCGTTCGCCTGCCCCGGTCTTCTCTAAACCTGCGCGATTCGCGTGAACCCGCACAGCTGTGGGCAGGCAAATCCAAGACCCTTAAACGTTGAACCCCCCCCGACCCGCTCGCCCGAAGGTCCTGGAGAGATCCCTCCTTCCTGGCAGAGCGAGGCCCTTGCTCTGCTTGCAAGATGTTACTGAGCGCCAGAGCTCTGCAAGTTTTGGTGGTCGCTTCATGTTGAAAGGGCTTTAGGGGCTTTGTGGGAGACGCTTAAAGGCTGTTAAGGAACGATTAGAACGACAGGTTGCTCTTCACTCCAAGCCTTGGCGCTACTTCAAGAGGCAAAAGTGCTGGCCTGGCCCATTCTTCCGTGGATGGGAGCTCTGCGAAAGGCTCCTGGTTGGGGAGTTCAGCAGGGTTGAACTGGGTTGAACCGAGTTGACAGGTGAGACTGCTCCGTTGCTGAGGCCTAAGGGTTTCAGGTTCAAATTTCCTGTTCAGATCGCTCAACAAGGTGCTTCTAAAAAGGTTCAAGGGTGAAGCAGCCTACAAACGAGTCCAGAACACCACAGTCCACACAAAACCTCGAACCCGGAACCTCCTTCAACCCATCGAGGCCTCACCTACCCCCGCAGGCGGGCGGCACCGCGGCCAGGGAAGTCGGTACCCGACTCCTGCAGCCACTCCTGGCTGACCTCGCAAGGCCACGTGGAGTTCTCATTACGGTAAAAAACAAACAAGGTTTAGGAGTCGAGGGGTGTTCTCTTGTTGTGAGGAGATCTGGGCTGTTCACTGGCACGCTTGCCAACCGAGACTCTGGGGGTTTTGGCTGCGGGGTTCAATGGTTTTGGGAGGGCATGTCCCATCAGAATCCTGAGAACCCCAAAACCTGGCAGACATCTTCCGTCGTCCTCGGAATCCTCAAAAACATTCGAGAATGAGGACATACTAGAATGGCAGCATACAGCATCTCAAGTGTAGCAGACGGCAGCAGCCCTTAAGACAACATAGTAGAAATGGTCTTCAAAGGTCTTTACCCCTGACAACTCCCGAGACGCCTCCCACAGGGTTGGCGACCTGCCTGCGGTCCTTCAGGAGCGACTCTTGGAGGTGCGACTCAGGAAAGAAGGAAAGGTGTTGATAATTAAACAGAAATCCTAGCAACTTTCCTATAGAGTCTTCGGGCCCCTGAAAACTTCCTGAGAGTCATGAGACCAAGCAGCCAGCTGCAGTCTGCCATTCCTGGGTTCGTCTTAGCCTCTGACGGCCGGCCAGGACGGCCAGGATCAGTCTGGCCAAAGAAAGGAACCGAGCTTGCACTCGCTTGCGCTCAAACCATTCCCGAGCACGTGCTCGACCCGAGGGGCCGAGATTGAGGATACCGGGGCTCTCTATTCGTCCCTTCTTCGAAGAGCTCGCGGGCATCATGCCATTCAAGGTGGGAGGTTGCGGTTGAGCTCGTCGAGGATCGATGAGAGGCTCGCGACCTGGAGGCTACAACGCTCCCAGCAAGAACCGCGACGCACCACCGCTCTAGCCGCAAAGCGAAGAGAACTTCGGGACCACATGCCTACACCGAGGGGTGATTCTCGTTTCCCGCATTTCAACAGCTGGCTCCCCCCAAAAAGCTGCAAGGGCCGGGTGGTCGATGGTCTCAGGCGCTGACTTCAGTCGCCAGTCGTAAGGGCGTGGGCTAAACCATTACCTCCAGGGGATGCCAAGGAAGGGAAGAGGGGAAGGACGATAGCCCCGCCCACGCAAGATGCCTTGGAGTACGCAGCCACATTTCCTGAGCACCAGGGCCCAAATCTGTTGCAGCTAGAGAACCCCAAGGCTTCCCAGAAACTCAAAGCCTGATCAGCGGCCCTGGCCAAAGCGCACGGAGAACAAGGGCCCTTTTTTGAATAGCAGCAATGGCAGCTGCTACTGCGCTGTTCAGATGGATACACCCTCTTCTCCATCGTTAGTATTCAAACCGGAGGCCTGAGCCCTAAAGGCGACTCCGGAGCCCCGAAATCGGCAGTCGCAGGTCTTCTTCCCCCGCCAGGACACCGCAGGGGGGCCCAATCTGCGAGCACATCCACGAGCCCTAAAGTGGCCTTAAAGTGGCTGAGGTGGAGCTTCAACTTTGACTTGCAGAGTCCCCAACCCTCAGCCCAGAACCTCCCAAACCGGGAGCCCAATCAAAAGTAGTGTACCTCGTCTGAATTGTCTGAATGAGAACTGAGGATGGCCTTGCCCATGCTCGCAGCCTGCGTCCATGCCTGAGTGCAAACCCACCCTCAGCTTCCAGAACTGATTCATGGGTGGGGTTCGGGCCGCGGCAGGGTTTAAGGGCTGAAGCTTCTTTCAGTCGAGTGTTTTGGCTTTTGAGGCTTCAATGGCCTAAGGGTTTCAAAACTTTCAGTGGTTGCTACATCTCAGGGCCTCCATGTGTGTAGAATTCTGCGATTGCGGAGGCTTGGCGCTGGAGTGTGTGCCAAAGGAGTACGGCCTGGCGACCGCGGAGAGGGTTCATGAGGCTCCGCACTTGCTGTGTTCACCTACAACCCGAAAACCCCGAAAGAAGCGAAGAACCTGGAATGGCCACTGGGCCTTTAACTGGACTCCACACGCTGGGCTCTTGGATGTGTGTTCTAAACCACCACATGCGTGTCTGAGGAGCTGCTTCTGATGTTCAGTCTGTCGATCTCCCATCACAAAGGACCATTTCATGCCATACTTGCTTCTAGATCCACGCTCAGATGATGGATCCTCATGATTTGAGAAGTGCCAACTTTCAAAAACGCCCCGAGCCCCGAGCCTCATATCTTCAACTTCCCGATGACAACAGTACAGACAGCAGCATGCTTAATCGCATTTGGGCAGGTTGTCCATGAGCTTGTCGGCATCGTCGTGGGAGCAGATTCATCATCCGAGCCCTCGCCTCAAGTCCACTGCACAGTGAGATATGTACCCTAAACCCTAAACCCTAAACCCCAAACCCTAAACCCTAAGTGAGGGCCTTTCGGCAACTCCTCAGTTCGAAGGCCTTGCCGAAGGGCGAACACCGCCTGTCGTAGCGAAGTCCTTGAAACCACAGGTGCGCAGGATACTCGGCCCTGCAACAACTCCGATGTACCTTCGATCTGAACGTAGCTTTGGCCTTCCCATACTGCACACCTGAAGCTCCTGGTGGAGACTGGATTGCAGGCGAGGAGCGGGGTTCGATTCAGAAGGATCAGCTGCTTGAACCCCAATTCTTGAAAGCTTCCGGTGCCCAGGCTCAGGAGCTCGCTGGACGAAGCCGTCGCAGCACTGACGCTGCTGGGTCGCAGCCTGGAGTTTTCTTTTAGACAGTCTAGAGCAAAGCGGTCTGGATCTAGGCCACTGAGTCCACTGAGTTCCCTTGAGCCGAGACGGTATTTCGCGCGCGTGGTCCACAATATGAGAGGCTGGCCTTCCGTGTTCCGGCGAAGGGTGGCATGGCGACGTCGGAGACGGCTGCTGAGCGTAAGAGCTTAGGGAAGTTCGGGGAAGGTTAGTTTAAGCAAGGCTCGTCACACTAGCTGCATGCCGCTCTGCCCGCAGCCCACCAGGCCGGTTGCTTGCGGACACTGGTATCGGCCTCGAGGGCATCGGAGGCCCCGAGGCGCCGTTCCAGGGGGGGGGGGGTGGGGGTTTGTTCTTGCCACGGAATCACAAGGTGTTGGAGTGCAGGGGTCGCCGCATGTTGTCGGGCGTGGGAGTTCGAAAACTTTGTTATTCGAAAGTGCCTTCAAGCGTGATCCAGGCCGGTCGTCAAGCGCCTGACCCTGCTGGTCAGCCACACCCTGCTCCTCGAGCCGGATAATGGCAGCGCTTTGACGGGCCTTTTGGAGCTGGCTGCAGCTGCATACAAGTTACGTGTATTGCTGTGTACGAGCTTTGAATTTCAGAGTGTGTTCCTCTTTGTCTTGTCGAAAAAGCCTTTTTCTCGGGTTCAGGCATTTGTTGTTTTGGGCAGACAGCCGAGTCATTAGCACATGACGGTGCGAACAACTTTAGTGTTGTCTCACCGCTTAGAGGGGAATCTGCACGGAAGCTAGCTAGCTAGGCGGGGTTTACCCCTCTGGTGATGGGCTGTGGGCATGAGAGGGATTGGGGCTCTTTGCCCAGGTCCGCACGGGAAGCCGGGGAGATGGAAGAGCGTCTTGGGCCGCAGGGTTGACACCAATCGTCTTGCTTTGGGCACTGGGCTTTCTGGGGGACAGTCTGGCATTTCAGACTTATGGACTTATTTAGGTTTCTGTGGAGGATCTGCGGCTCGAGGCTGAGCTCTTTTGGTGCAAGACTTCGTGCAGCATGGGCTTCGCCTTGCCGAAACACGGAGGTCACATGTGTTGGGGGTTCTTTGGACGACTTTGGAACCAGGACCCTCGAACACCAGGATTCAGAGCTGAAAGAATGGAAGTGCAACAAGACCCCAAGTTCAAAAGCAAGAGGTTTTTGAGGGTGTACCAGCCTCCACAATCTCAACAGCCCTCTGTCAACCTCTCTCTCCTAGGCTCGAGGAGCTGGTAGCGCCCGCTGGTGAAGAGCTTCTGCGCGAGCTCCTGGCAGAACCTGCTGGCGAGCCAGACGAGGTGGGCCTGCGAGGGATTGTGAGGATCGGGGGTCGATCGGGGTACCCCCAGGGCAAGGACAATTCGTACAATGTATCTTGTTCACAGTGCGCATATGACACTGACAGGGCTTTCTACAAGTGAATAGAATAGGCGCGTGACAGCTAGTCCTTTGCACCTCTCGGTGGCTTTTCAGGGTGCTATTCGTTGCCTCTCGGACTGTCGTTTTCGGAACGCGCTGAGGAAGCCTGGCCGGTGCTGGCCCGGTTGCTCGCTCGGGCTGGCAAAGAGCTGACCGGAGAAATCCTGGCGAGGAGCTACCGTTTCGTTTGATCTATGGTTCAGCGCTTGAGAAAAATTCTAGAACCCCAAGCTCGGAAACCCCAAAAAACCGCAGATACTTCAACTTGAAGCCGATACAACCCGAAAGCCCAGAACTTCCCTTCACCCCGAATCCTGCAAGGAACTGGCCAGGTTCTCCAGCCGCCTGGGTGCGCGCCCTGCTCGAGGCTCCCGATAGCTGCGGTCAGCGGTCTTCTTTCGTCCACCAGAACTTGCACTGAAGTAAATCTCTCAGATTTCGACGCAGCTGCAGTAGGGCTAAGTCATACACTTCGGGTAGAAGAGGGACCTGAACCTTGCAATGCACGCCTGGTGGTGCATGTGGCACCTGACTGACGAGCATTCATGGAGGCCGCACGGAACACGCCCTGCCCAGCACTGGAGCTGCTGTGCCTTGCGCGGGGGGCGCGGGGTGCCGGCAGCGAGCGTCGGCTGCTCCCGGAGCCCCGCCGTAGCGCAGCGCCCACACGGTTTGGGCTTCAGAGGGAACTCAATTCTCACCCTCTTCAGCGAAAGCTGTCTGGCTGTTGGAGATGAGACGTGCAAGCTTAGGCCACTAAACCCCGACATTTCCAACTGAAAACCATATTGTGCCCCCAGCTGCCGGTTTTCGAGGAGGGCGCCGTCAGCGCAACAGAGCTGCACGAGAACGCGGTCATCACCGGCCTGGTGCTGATGCTTGGGCTTTAATACCACAGGTCGTCCCGGCGAAATGTGCCAGAGTTTGTCATGATAGTCCTCAGAGGCTCATTTGTAAGAGTCTTCAAGTATAGTTTAAGGTTTGCGCCCTAAACCCCAGACAGGAATGTTTGGAATTTCGATTTTGAAAGCCCCTGGCCGCAGATGCTCACAGCTCCAGGGCCACTTTGCAGGGCTTGAAAGATCCATTTGAGGGTTTTCCTATTTCAACATTCGTTTAGCTCCGGGAGCAAGCTTCATGAAAAATATGAAGGCGGATACCATGCGGAGGGGGGGACAACTGACACGCGACAGGGAAACTATGTGTCCGACACCTGTCCAACCCAGTCCCCAACACACAGCCGGGGTAACTTCCGGTCCGCATCGTTCGTGCAAGGGTGTTTAAGGCGGTTTGTCAATTTTGAAGGAGATGAAAGACAAGGACAGAACTAAGAGAACTTTGCGTTAGTTTCGTGAGCTTCAAACCCCCAAGAATCCTAAAGTTTAACGCTTCCTCGCTCCTGAGCTGTGCCCCACCCAGGAGGGGCCTTGAGGGACCTCCCAGTGATTGCCTTGAGGAGGGCGCCCTGGAGGAGCGGCCCTGGGTTCGGGGGAGCCTTGGGCCCATCTAGGTTGCCTGAAGAGCCGGCAGACATGAAGTACTACCAACGAGTTAAGAATGGCAAAAACATCTGATCAACTTTTTTGAATCAGTGATTCTGAGCTGCAAGATCATGCTCGCGCAGCTCCGCTCTTGAGAAAATGCTTTTCGCCAATCGCCCTTGCTCCCATCACTCTGTTGAAGCCCTTTCGAGCCAACCCTAAACCCTACACCCTACACCCTCGGCCTTCCGGACCCCTAAAGCAGGTGATCTGGGAACTCCTCCTTGCTGCAAGCCTTACGGCCGAGCAGACGGTGGTTTCGGGTGCGGCCCAGGCACCAATAATTTCAAGGGCTTTGGGCTCCTTGGAGTTGAGGGCTTTTCTCGGGGATTTTGTCCGAATGATAAAATGGCTCTGAAAACTTATTCTTCAACTCGCCAAGAGTTCGAAGGACTTGAGGGTCAAAGTTGCGCAGGCTACCATCTTCAGGCATTCGGACATTCAGGTAAAGAAGCCCAAGATCGTCACGGCTCTTTTATGAAACGGGCTGAGCTTTCAAGGATCTGAAAGGGTTTTTCAAGTCCCTTTCTGACTCCTTCTGGCTTTCAGAGGCATCTTAAGGCTTCCTTTTTTTCCATGGTGGTTTACAGGCTTGGGCGCTGCTCCAGCGAGCCGCAGATGCCACGAAGCTTCTCGGCCCGACTCGGGGGCCTTCCTTGGGGACTATGTAGGGTCTGCTTCGTTGCTTCTGTTTGAGCTGCGAAGTCTCGAAGTTCTCGAGTTCTCTCTTTCCGAGGGCTTCGGGACGGTAAGGGGGGCGGTTTAACAGCTCGGAGAGCTTCTTCGCAGATCTTTTTTGGCAGCCTTGTGAGTGTGCTGCGGTTCGGAAGTCCAAATCTCCAAATCACCAGGAAGCCCAAAAGAAAATCGACCCTGACGCCCCCCCCCCCCCCCCCGCAATATCACCTGCCCAGCACGATGTCTAGTCTGCCCAAAAACAGCGAAGGGGCCACATGCCACACCCCCCAACACACCTAATGCGCTTTTGAAGCCTGAGCTTCTTTTTGTGCCCAGGCTCCGCTTCCTTGACCTCGCGCTCAAGGAGGCGGCCTCTGAAGGAGGCCTCTGGCGCATCTCGCCCCTCGGGTGAGCTTAGTGTTTTTTGTTGAAGAAAGGAGGGGGGGGAGGTTGAGGGGTTCTCCCGGCAGTTTTCAGGGGTGATCAGGCGTTTTAGGGTTTCGAGCTGAGATTGCTGCAACCCTTGCATCGTACCGCACCTAGAGGGAGCATGAAGCCTTGTGTCCCAACTGTTCACAAGCGTCAAGACTCAAGACGCCATGTCTTAAGGAGCCAAGAAGAAGGTGAAGCCCTGCTGCCACTGTCGGCGCACCTCGCGGCACTCAGCCCGCTCCCCTGGCGTCCTTGGAACTATCGTTTTCTCTTTCGTCGGTTGAAGCAGTTAAGGGTTCTGGGCTCCAAAAGCAAGAAGCAACGTGGTCCCAACAACACTGCAGGCTTCGGCACCTGCTGGCGGCGCTATGGACAGACTCCACCAGGTCTGAGGCTCTTGGCGCAGCTCGGCATTCTCGCGAAAGCGCCCCACATACCTGAAAATTCATCATATTCCGACACGCTTTCAGCTCTAGCACTTCATAGCTCTTCTCCATCGAATTCCACAATTGATGTAACAGTCTTCATTCAGATGCGGCCAAGGCACCCGGGTTTTTGAGCTGGGCCCTCGGAGACGAGGCGCCGAACGGAACCCTGGGCTGGGGCCACGCGGCGGCCACAGTGGTGAAGCAAAGCGCAGGCGATCCTTTTGACTCTTAGCATCGAAAGTCATGGCAGTGATGATTGATGATGATGATGATGATGATGATGATGATGATGATGATGATGATGATGATGATGATGATGATGATAATGACGATGACGATGACGATGACGATGACGATGACGACGACGATGACGATGATGGTGGTGGTGGTGGTGATTATGAGTGATGATGCTGTCCGTAGCAATGTAACGCGGGGAAGGCCCTGAGTTCTGAATCATTCGGAAGCGCAGCGCATACAGGGCCAGTTGCATTTTGTCGGCTCCCAATAATTAGTAGTTTCGAGGGGGCAGGTGTCGGTAGGAGGTATCGGCCCCAAGCGCAGGCGTCGGCATCCTCGAGGGCCCGGCGCTGCTTGGAGCCCTCGCCAGGTGCCGAGCGTGGATCCGAGACTCGCCGATCTCGGGCGATGCGGCGATTACCGAGCAGCACCTGGTCTTTGCCACAGCTCTCGAGGAGGCAGCCCAAGCCCACGCCGCTTGCGCCGGACCGGTGCCGAAGAGAACGGAGGCGGAGAAGCATGAGAAGCTGAGCAGCGCTGGTCCGGTGATTTCGGAGGTGCCTGAGCCAGAGGGCGGCGCGAGTGTGTCACAAAGCGAACCCTCGGTCTTGGAAGACCTGGACACCAGTTTGGTCGAGAGTATCGAGAAGCTGCTTCGCTGGTCTCAGGCGCGCGCATCCCGGGCCGATTGCTTTGCTGCCTACACGGCTGCCTTGTGGCCCACCGTTTCTACTGCCGTTGCAACAGCGGACAGCACGGCTGGCCGTCTGGCCTCACGCATGGTGCGCCTGGTCCTGGAGACATTGGGTGGCTCGGTGAGCGTGCTGGTCGCTGGTCCCAGCAAGGCCCCAACAGCGCCCGGAGTCTGGCGGCTGGTTGCAGCACTGTGCAAGACAGGGCAGTGGCCCGAAGCCAACTGGCCTGCTGTGCTTCAGGCCACGGCGAAGGCGAGCAAGTGGCTCCTGACAGCTCACGAGGCCAGCGCCAACCCAGTGTCGGACGCCTTCATCGACGATGCCGTTCGGCTCAATTGTGCGTGTGTCTGCTGCTCTCCCAATGTGAAGATGTGCAGCTTCGCACGTGCCCGCGAGGGTCGGACAGGCTGCATGACTACTTCGGTTCAGTCCCAACCCCACATGGTTCATTTCCACGGCTCCCCAGAAAACAGATTCTACTCGGGTCCAAGAACCGCCCCGAATAAAGTTGGTCGTCCCATGAGTTCAACAAACTTCCCCTGCAAAAGCGCAAGCCTTTGGGCAACACTACATGCCCCGTTCCTCAAAAAAGTCACAGACAAGCAGGGTTCTCAGCCGCTTTGTGGAGCCTCGAAACTTAGGCCTGCGCCGCAGCTGCAGCGCTACTGCCCTGGGTTCCTTCAGCGCTGGCACCAAGTCTGGCGCCACTGCTCCTCGAGTCCGCAGTTCGGGGGATTGGTAATGAGGGGGCAATGGCGTAGCTACTACTTACCAGCAGTTTGCAAATGTTTGCAGTTCCCAGCATCAGAGATTCCCAGCAAAGGCTGTCAGCGCCCGACTCGCAGCTCCGCGGGGCCGCGTCCCAGAGGCTGCAGGCGCACCGTTGGGTGCCCGGCCGTGCGGAGCTGTGCAGTGCAGCTCGGACCTTCGGAAAACTCTGCCAAGGAAGGCTTTGGGTGGTATTGTCTTTGTTGTCCGCAGGGTGCGTGTGTCCTTTGAGCGTAGCGGCTAGTGCTTCGCTCTGCTTTGGACCTTCTCGGGTTCATAGGCCCAAAACCCATCCAAGGAAGAGGGCAAGGAGGACAGCCTTCCAGAGTGCCCTGACAAGGCACGGTCGGCAAGAAAAAGCTTCGGATTTCACAATTCCTGAGAATCCCAAACTCCCCAAACCCAAACTCTGAGCTGAGCCCACACCCGAGAACCTCCCAACCTGAACGCTGAGCGCGCTGCAGTGGACTCAGAGCTTCCGCCCCAGGGCCAAGATGAGAGCTGGCCGGCGCCGCGAGCTTTAGTGAGCCTGAAGGCACTCCTAGAGGCTGTCGAGGGAAGCTTTGAGGGTTTAGCGGGAACGCAACCCCCTCACACCCCCAACTCCCCCCGCCCCCCCCCCGGCAAAGAATCCGGCAGAGAATCCTGCAGAGCCAGACATCCTCAGATAAGAGCATCCCAAGAATGCCAAATTGCTTTAAAGGGATGTTCGAAGCAAACACATGTTATTGGGGGGATCTCGGGCCTAATGGGGGGTGGGGCCGCCGGGGCCCTGCTGCAGGCCGACACGCAGCCAACAGAGGCGAGTGGGGAAGCCGCCCAAGGCAGCCTCCCTTCGTGTGGCGACGTGGCCTACGTGGTGGTGGGCGCTGTGTTTGGCCGTGAGCTCACCGATGGGGCCTGGGCAGTGGAGGAAACCGTGCGGTTCACTGTTTCCGAGGTTAACGGTTTTGCGGCGTTAAAGTGGTAAGAGGCCGTGAAGCCTATCTCGCCGCACCCAACGCCAAAGCTTCCTGAACCTCAACTTTGTAAGCCCCAGGCCCTCGCACACTCCAAGAGAACCGGAGCGAAAGTTCTTTCCTGGACAGAACTCCGTCAGAAAGACCGCCAAAAGGAAGGAGTCTTACAGCAACCTCGCTGAAGCACTTCAGCTACCTGCACTATCCTTGGGTGGTTCCGGGACTTGGGGTCTGGGGATGGGTTTTGGGTCCTCCCCCTCCCCCTCCCCCCTCCCCCGCCCCCCGATCTTTGCGGAGGACGCGCTGAGTGCCGTGGCCGCCTGGGAGGCATCTTGGAGACTCGCAGGAACCAGGAACCCCCAACGCAAAGACTTGTGTATCCAGAAGCCCTTTGAAACCCCAAAGCCTTCAAAACGCATTCGTTAATTTCAGTGCGTGAACTCAGTAGGCGACACCTCAAACAGCAAGCAGCCCCCTGAAAGGTGAGCGGGGACTCGGATGACTCCGGCGGGGAGTCCGCGGAACCTGGCACTTTGGAGCAAGGAGAGACGCTGCTTTTCGGTAGTTGTTTGCTCAATCCTGCCTGAGGGGTTTCGGTGCTCAGGGCGGGGCCTTGGAGCATCTTGGTGTCAAGGCTTAGTGTTGTTTTCGGTTTCGGGGTTGCAAGATGTTGCATGGTATGTCGCGCAGTGAGACTTGTTGTACGAGGTTGGCTCGTAGAGGCAATAGCGATTTTTGTTTTTTTGATCGTTGCTGCAAAAGTGAACCCTGCGCGACCCACTGTGTAACCCCCAAGTTCGCGCTAGTCAGCTAGTCCGTACAGCCACCAACCCAAGTGTCAGCCATTGAGAGGAGGTGGCTCCAGTTCCTCCCAACGAGGCCCTTTTGGCTTCTTTGGGGTTTCGGGGATCTTGGGTTCGTTATAGGCGTGGAAGAGGCCTTTGCTGGTTAGCGATTTGTTTCAGGGGTGAAGCATGGTGAAGCCGTTGTTTTAGCAGAGCTCGCAGGAAGGCTTGCTTCTTATCGACAGGACAGGTCAAGTGCTAGTCCCACAACGTAGTCTTGCGCTACAGCGAATGCTGAAGACCTCCAGCACAGCTGGCAAGGCTACGGCCGGCACTTCCGAGCCGCTGGCAGTGAGCGAGGCATCCTGAGCTTTTGCGGGTCAAGAGTGTGCTCTATATCGCAGATACGCAGAGTTTATGTGCCGATTCCAGTACCTTGCGTGTCCGGCTTGGAGTTGGGCGCAGACCCCCGAGGGTCAGGAGTATCCAACATGAAGTCGTCGAAGCACTGTTGCTTTGCATCGTTTGCAGTCCTCCGTACCCCACTCTCGTTTTACCCTGAGGCCCAGAACTCTTCCCTAAGCCCCTGAAGCCCTAAACAATCCAAAGGTCAAAGATGCTCCGAGATCCCTGTCATTTCCAGGTCCTTCCGAGGACTTGTACACAGACCCGGCCACGCCAGCTAGCAGCGTCTCGCCGTTCGAGTCGTTGGACATGTCATCTTCGGGACCCTTCCTCACGGTTTTGGGTTTGAGCTTAGAGGCTTAGAGTATTAGCGGATAATGGGCCTCGAGGCTTGGAGGAAGCGGCTTTGAGGGTTCGCACGCAACCGCGCGAGCCCGTCTTGACAACCTGTAGGGCTCTACGGCACCTTGCCTTCCATGAAACCAGCTGAGAGCGCCTCAAGAGCCGCTTCTCCCGAGCTTCGGGGGAGGGTTCCCGCACCCAGGCTCACGGGCACGGCGGGGTGCCTGGCTCTCCTCGGAGCAGCTGCCTCTGTCTGGGACCCAGGATGCCCCCCGCTGAAGCCTGAGCCAGGCGTTGAACCAGGGTGCAAGGCCGGACCTTAGGGCTTCAGAGGTCTCATTCGTATCACAATAGTACTATTTATTATTATGTTTACCATTAGTGTTATTATTATAGGAAGTTCGGGTGTCCAAGTTCTGTGCACGGGAAGGGCCGCAGCAACTTCCGAACCTCCAGCAGAGGCCCCCAGAGGTCGAGCACGCTTGTGCTGCTTCGCTGGCCGCGTGGGAGACGCTTTTGAAAGGCCGACCTGGGCATGTCTTTTTTGGGGCGAGGGTTCAAGGTTTGGGGGTTGGGGCTCTTAGAATTCGGGGTGCAGGGAAACCCTGAAAGCAAAGTTCCACGTCCTCAGCTTGGCAGCACATAGAGTCTTTTGAGGGTTTACGGTTGGGTGTACCCCAATTCGACCCTACTGAAACCCCAAAGCCAGGTATCGACAAAGCCCTCCAGGAGAAGGCCGGTCGGTGGAGGTCTGTCGGAGTATGAGGGAAAGGTTTTTTAGTGCATTTAGTCAAGAAGGGACCTGCATTTCAGATGTGGGGTTGAGCAGTCGGAATCAGCCTTGCAGACCAGAGGCCAACACACCTTCCATCGCATCAATTTGCAAGGATGGGTGTCGCTGAGCTGCTCTAACAGCTAGAGGCCTCAAAGTCTCAATTCCCCACCCAAGAAACGAGCGCAATCTGCAGCGTGATGCATGCTTAATCCTTCTTCCCCTCAACCAGTTTCGCCAGAGATTGAATTAGATCCCTGGTTTGTGTATGACTTGCATGCAAAGAACGACGTTTGTAGCAGAGCCAGGACTGCTGCGGGGAGACCCAGCCCTGGGTGCAAAAGTTGGGCGGTTTTTCCATGAGTCTCAGGGTGTTGTTTGGGAGTCTAGGCTTCTTCAGGGTGCAGACTTTGTCTTGGGAAGGGCTTCTGCGTGTAAACGTGCTGGGCAGCTCCTCAGCTCCTCCTCCGACTCCAGCTCCTCGCCCCGGGCTCTTCCTCTCCGGCTTCTTTGCTGTGAGAGCAGCTTTCAGAGCCGGACCTCGCAGGGTCAAAGTCCAGCACGCCCTGAATACCATTTCCACTCTAGTTTACAACCCCCCCCCCCCCCTTCCCAAGCCGCTGAAAGCTCTGAACCCCAACTCCAAGAGCGCGTTCAAGGTTTTGGGGGCGTTGTCTTTGCCGGGGCAAGTTGAGGGTTCTGGAGCGGCGTGAGGGCGTCTTCCGGTTTTGACAACTCCCGTGAGCATTGCAAAGCCTTCGCAAATCCAGAGCCCAAAGCCGCAGAGGCCGCCACCCACTGTCCTTACTAAATCCTGCACCCAAATTGGGCCTAAGGGAGCCATCCGCCCGGTGGCACGGGGAAGGCCTTGTTGGGGGCTTGGGGGGCTTCGGTTGTTCACACCCTCCTGGAGTTAGAAGATAACAAGCGAGTCTTGGAACTCATCAAAGACCATAAAATCAGAATAGCAAAAGAAAGGGAAGAAGAAGCAGGATAAGAATAAAGAAGAATCATAAAAAACCCTAATGTCCATAGATTTTGAGGGGGGTGATAGAAGGAAGAAAGTGGACACCATGCTTAACATTCTGCTCTCTCTCTCTCTCTCTCTCTCTCTCTCTCTCTCTCTCTCTCGCGTCACGTAGATTTAGTATTCTTACTACCCACAGTTTAGATGTTCCAAGGTCTATATCCTTTTGTCCTGCTCTTCTGTCTCCATGCCGGGTTGGAAACAGGCCCAGGCTTGATAAGAATTCTAGGAGACAGAGAGCGCTGCCTTCCTGAAGAACCCATATGCTAAGACAGGGGTTTAGGGTTTAGGGTTTAGGGTTTAGGGTTTAGGGTTTAGGGTTTGGGGTTTAGGAAATGTTGAGCAAGGCTGTTTTGTTGAAAGGGCTTCTCTCAACCTCTGAACCCTTATCAACTTATCAAAAGTACCTGCAAAGCCGTGAAGCCCCAGCGGCTGCAAAGCCCTGCACTGCACCCGACAAGCCCGACCGAGCCCCCATCTCCTCGTGCTTCACAGAGGAGGGCCCGACTCCTGCCGAGCTCCTGGCGACGGTGCTCCAGTTGGGGCCTAAGCAGTGACTTAAGCGGAGCCAGGGCTGAGTAGGGGCTGCTGTAGGGTTCGGGCAAGGCTCCCTTGGGCTTCAGGGCTTGTTTGTCAGCATCCTGACATCCGCAGATCCGGATCAACCTCCAAGCCATAGCAGTCACAATCCTGATCGCGAAAAACACGTGGCCCTTGCTAGACCCTCCAAATGTTTTACGTTTTCCTTATAGGGTCTATAAGAGACTCGCAATGTAGGAATATTTTGTTTTCGGAAGGTTCGAAGGCCAACCAAGGGCCGAGACTACAGAGAAACTGAACGCTTCAGCCCTGGAGTCCCCTTTCGAAGGCTGACGCCCGACCACCTTGGCAAGTCGGCGGCCCTCTCCGCCTTCCCTGCCCAGGCTTCGGGGGCTGAGTTTTTGAGAATCTTGCGGGTCTTGCGTCTAGCTCGAGGGCGTCCCTACAGAGGGCGTCCTACTAGTTGCCAGAAACGGGGCTGTTGTGTTTGGTTGTGATTTAGTGGGGTAGGGGCGGGGACGTGTACGCAACGCAGAGTGAGCACCCTTTGAGGAATTTGCATGGGCACGCAGTGTACGGCTTCTGCTGCTTCTTAGTTTTTTTCTCTTCTTCTTCTTCCTCGAAATCGACATGCGACCTGAAGGAGGAAGGAGAGCAGGTCTACTCCTCAAAGCCCAAGCCTCAAACAGCTCGCGCCCATTCCTGCGACTAACGCAAAAGCGCCCTCAACCTGCGTGAGCAAGGGGTACCATCTGCTGGTGCAGACCAGTATCTGCTTTGTGTACAGGTGGCACCGGCCAGTCATTGGGACACGCCGCTGCAGCCGTAGCCCCGGTGCTTGAACAGCTTCAGTTTGGAGCTCCCCAAGTTCCCTCAAGTTCCCTCTTTAAGTTCTCCAAGTTCCCCCCCAAGCGCCCGTTTACGTGCAGCCCTTCGTACACACCCTGCGCCGCAGCGGTGTGTTGAGTGTTGCGGGTGGTGTTTCACTGGCAGACACGTTCTCGTTCGCTGTGCGCAAGAAAAATGGCGTGGACACTCCTCTCCCACAAATACCCTTTTTCAACAGGCTTTTGCAGGATCTTGGAATCACAGGTGAACACAAAATAGAAGCTAGAATTTGCATCGTCTCCCTTACAATATAACGGGCACTTCTTTCTCTCTCCTTTTCTCTTTAATTTGCCCGGTTATTCATACGTCAAAACGGATTGCAATGTGCAAGAACGGCCCAAATTTGTGCAAGAACGGCCCAAATTGATATCGTAAAGGTTTTTGCGCAACATAGCAAAATTAGCTTAATGGTGTTTTCGGAAGTTTGGCAAGGTCAGCCAGAGAGAAAATAGTATCGCCAGTTAGGATCGTGCATGCTGTGCATATTCGATGTCTATGGAATCCGTCGCTTCGGCTCCGTCGTTAACCTGGCGACAACTTCCGAGATGTTGAATAGCTGCAGCACGATCAGAGATGATTGGCCAGCTCACCCGGAGGTCCTTATTTGTGCAGGTGACCACATCTCTCACTTTGTGGGGCGAACTCTTGGGTCTGAAAAGCTTCCAGGACACACCAAAAACACCTCCCAAGAACATCTCCCAAGAACATCTCCCAAGAACACCTCCAAGAACACCTCCATATGAGGCCCCTACTGCGATTGCTGTGCCATCTGCTGACCTCCAGCCGTCTCGCTGGCTACCCAGCTTGGCACCCTGCAGCCTGGGCAATTGCTCCTGCTACTGGGTAGAGCGCCTGCGAAGACAAGTTTGCGTGTTCTTTGGGTCTTGGGCTTTTCATTGCGGCCTCTCAAAGCACCTGTGCAGCAAAGCTTGCCGGAGCATCTTCTCAACCAGAGCGCCTGAAGGTTTCGGATTCAGAATCTGGCCTTCTTGGATTATTGGGCTGGGGGGGGTCAATATAGGTTCAGGGTTTAGGGTTTAGGGCTTAGGGTTTAGGGCTTGTTGAAAGCGCTCCCTGGTCCCACCGCGTGCCAAGACGGGCTTCACCAGTGAGGAGGATCATCCTGCAGAGGTCTCTGGGGTCCCATGTTGTGGGGAGTGGTATGTTGGGGGGGGGGTGGGCAACACGGGGCCTTCCTGGGTTCTTGAAGTTTGTGTCTGCCTGCAGCCTGCAGCCCTTCAGACCTTTTGCGATGTTGTGCCGGATGTTTGGGTTTGAGGCAAGGCCAACAATCAAAGTGAGCGGCAGACGAGCAACGGTTTTCCCTCAATTCCACGATGGCACCCCGCGTAGTGCTGCGACCTGAGAGCACTCTCAACCCTAATAAAGCCCCCAAACTTCCCCCTAAATCTTACAAAACGCTTGCGGCTTGCCGTTGGTGCCAGGTTACCCTTGCAGGGGCTCTCAACGAGGCTCGGCCTGGCATCAGTTCAGGGGCTGGAGGGGTTTGGTATATGCCACGTGCCTTCAGTTGCCTTTATATACTTTTTTTTATATCCTCAGCTCTGAACTCTCAATGACTGCTTGGGAGGTGCCTTGTTCATCATCAACCCAAGGCCCCGTTCCGCGAAAGGCCCCCCCCACCCCGCAAATCCAAACGCAAAACGTCTGAGCTTACTGGGCTTGGCTAGTGCACCAGCTGGCAGTGGTGCTGGCGCGCGGTGCGGCGAGGTGGCAGCTGGTCATTCCCCCCACCACATCCGCAATTGATTGTGCAACGCTGGTGCCTCTTCTGCCCCAAGCGCGTTCCCTTGGCCGCTTCAACTTGCGTCTGGGCCGTTGCCTTCGCGCACAAGCCGTCTAGGTTCGTTTCAGTTTTGCGCCGCCCTCAGAAGTAGGAGTGGGCTCTTGGGCACATGATATGCACCGACAGCCAATATCATTCTAAACTTGCAGACCTGCGAAACAACAGCCAGCAAAAGCCCGAGAGGCCGGGGCGCGGCAATTCGATCTGCTACCGCTGGCTGCCCGCACGCGGCCGCCCCAGTGGTGGGAGGAGCATTCAGAACACTTTGCTCTGTGCCCCAACTTCGGAAAAAGGCAGCCCTTAACCCCATTGTGTTGTGTTGGTGTGAGGTGTGGCGTGAACCCTAAACTCTAAACCCCGGCTAAACCCTAAACCTTAAACCCAAGTGTGGGGTGTGCATCTGCCGCGCGTCACTTGTCCGGAGCCCGAGGCTGCTCCTGGCACTTCGCCTGGCGCCGGGCGGCGCACGCCACTTCTGGGAGCGGCTTCCGAGGCTTCTTGAGGTTTGTGTTGAGATTTAGGGAGGGTTTGGGGTTCAGGGTTTGGGGTTTGGGGTTTAGGGTTTAGGGTTTGCTTCAGGGCTTTCGGGATGTAGAGGGCTTTTCGGAAGCTGTTGGAATGCTGTTGGAGGAGCTTGGGGTATCTTGGGACGAGCCCCAAACCGCGTGGGCAGGGTCCCAAAGAACTGTTGACCCGAGTCAACCCTAAACCTTTCGGCGCAGGACCCGAAGTCCCCCAATTCCCCACATCCGAAAGCCGAAGCAATGCAAGCGCCCTCCAACATCCCAAAAAACACAGGCAAAGAAAACAGTACAGGAAATTATACATAAAATCTGTTTGCTTCTGTATTTATGAAGCTGACATTGTACTGCAGAAACATACTACAGTGGGCCGCCAAAATGACGGTGAGCCGCTCAAAATCGAGTTCAGCGCCAGGAAGCGGGATCAGGCCCTGGTGGAGCGGTTGGTCTCGAGGCCCCCTCCCTCGACTGGCTGCTCTTTCATGTTTTTTTTTAAATGCGGGCTTCCAGCAGGTTCAGGGTTCAGGGCCAGGGCTGTGGGTCATAGTCCTTTGCAGGTTGCGGTGCTGGGATTTGCGGATTGAGGCCAAATGCCCTGTATACCCACCAAGCCCCTACCATGTTAAAGCTCAAAAAGCCGCAAATGCCAAGGAAGCCTGAGCCACCTGTAAAGAGTTCACTGGCATCATGTGATGGTCTCTATGAGGCCGGAATACCTAGGATGCCTTGCGAAAGTGAGATGACTGTCGAACCCCCCGTCAGAAACCCTAAGACCTCCAGGGCCCTAAAGCGCTGCAATCCGACAAAGGGCAAGGCCTCACCAAGGGCAGCGACGTGCTTCATTGGCTTATCAGGGTAGGGAAAGTCAGAGCCGGCCGTGCAAACGGCCTACAAGCCATCTGCGATGGTGAAGCAGGCAGGGTGGAGGGGGGCTTAGGCTCAGGCCCACGATTGACTCTAGCCTCGAGTTGACAACAGGTTTGTTTCGAAGCCGATTTAGACGGGGGCTGTGTGGTCGGTTAGGGGCCTTTGCACGCGCAGAGTCGCCAAAGCCGTGCCTTGCACGGAGGGCCGTTTAGAGCTCGTAAGGCGCTGATCTGTAGCCCAAGGGCCAAAAGGCTGCTCCAGCTCCACTGAAGTCTAGAGGCTCTTTTGGCCTGGGTGCTGCAGAGATTCGCCATCCTCGCTCGAGCCACTCAGTTCGAGGCAAGGCCCCAATAAAGCCCTCCGCCTCAGGTCAATCCCGTCCGGAGGGTCACCACCAGGACCCTCCCGGCCCGAAGTAAGGGGCAGCTCGGCTGTTGGACAGCAAGCCTTGCTGGCTTTTTGATCCTTTTGCCTAGGTCTGCGCAAGCCTTTAGGACATCTTCGGCCTGTGCGAGTACAGTTCTTGAGGGTAAGTGGTCTCTGCCAAGCCCCCTATGTGGCCCCCATGAGATACGAAATCTGAGCCATCCCTTCCCACACACGCGCTGTCCTCCGTTTCCCCGAATTAATCTTCCAAGCCTGTAATGACTCAAGAAGCCCACGTACCAAGGAGCGGCCGCGGCGCGTGGGTCTTCGTCCCTGAGCATCTGGACTCAAGGTTTAAGGAGTTCGAGTCGGACCTCGATTTTCTTTCTACGGGTTCTGGGCGGAAGGGAAGGGGACTGAAAGATCGGGGGGTCATCTGTCACGGGGTTCTGGGTGGAAGGGAACGGGGCGGAAAGATGAGGGAGTACTTGGGATTCTGAGCACCGCCAGACGAGCATCATGAGCATCAGCCGCCCGAGGCCTGCGAGCATCATGAGCATC